AACCCGTTTCCGCGTAAAAGTCATGGCACAAGTCTTAGATGTACAGAACTTGAAGCCATGACCTGTGGCCCAAGACGACACGGCATCAATTGCAAGTTGAAGCCGGCGTTGAAGGAGAGGCGAATCATCACCCTGACAACAAAGGGTAAGATCATCGACATAGAGAGCGGAGAAGACACCAGAAGGAACAGAGGAAAGAAGACCATTGAGGGCAACCAGAAAAAGAGTAGTGCTCAGAACACTACCCTGGGGCACACCTTCGTATTGCTGAAAAGAGGGAGAGAGAGCGGTACCAAGGTGCACCCGAAAGGAACGACGAGAGAGGAAGCTGCGGAGAAAGAGCGAGATGACCACGAAGGCCAAAAGAATGAAGTTGAGATAGGATATGATAACGCCAAGTGGTGTCGTAAGCCTTTTCTAGGTCAAAAAGGACGGCAACAACGGAGGTCTTCGCAGCAAAAGCAGTACGAATATAGACCTCCAAGTTCACCAGGACATCTGTCGTGCTGCGGCACTTGCGGAAACCAAATTGAGAAGGGGAGAGGAGGTGATGGTGTTCCAGGAACCACATCAGACGAACGTTAACCATACGTTCAAAGAGTTTGCAGACAACTTGTGAGAGCAATAGGGCGAAAGTCCTTAGGGGAAGTACCCAGAGACCCCGGTTTGCGAACAGGGAGGACAACGGCATCGAGCCAGTCCTCAGGGACTGACGACGACTCCCAGATCAGATTATACAGACTCAGTAAATACTGAGACGTGCTCGGAGGGAGATGGCGAAGCATCTCATAATGAATACCATCGGAGCCCGCCGCCGTAGAACCGCAGAGGGCCAGGGCAGAACGAAGTTCAGAGAGAGAGAAGGGATCATTATAGGGAAGCTGAAGATGAGTGCAGAAATCTAAAGGACGAGACTCAAGGACAGGTTTACGAAGAAGGAAAGATTGGGGAAGATGAAGACCAGAACTAACAGAAGAAAAGTGGGAACCCAGTTCGGAAGCGACCTGCAACGGGTCCGCCACAAGAGTATCATGGAGGTGAAGGACCGGTGAAACATCGGGAACGAACTTACCCGCTATCTTGCGGATACGCTTCCAGATCTGGGCCAGAGGGGTTTCGGACGTAATTGTCGAGACATAAGATGCCCAACATTCACGTTTAGCCGTACGGATGGCCCTACGGGCCACCGCACTCGCTTTCCGAAAGAAAAGAAAAGAATCGGTCGTCTGCCTACGGCGGTGCTTCTTCCAGGCTGCACGCTTACAGCGGACAGCCCGAACACAGTCCGCATTCCACCAGGGAACGCACTTCCGTGGACCCCGAGAGGAAGAGCGAGGAATAGAGCGGAGGGCAGCGTCGAAGACAGTGTCATGAAAAAGGAGGAGAGCGCGAGAGAGGGGCAGAAGGGAGAGGTCAGAGAGAGTAGCACCGAGGGAAAATAGGGTCCAGTCCGACTTGGCAAACTGCCACCTAGGGAAAGAGAGGGAAGGGCGAAAAGAGAAAAAGGAAACAAGGATGGGGAAATGATCACTTCCATGGAGGTCATCAAGAACCTGCCATGTGAAATCTAAGTAAAGAGAAGAAGAGCAGAGAGAAAGATCAAAGATCAAGACAAGAAAGGGTGCGAGTTCGAGAGTCCAAATGAGTGGGCTCACCAGAATTCAGAAGAGACAGGGAAGAAGAGAGGAGAAACGGCTCAACGAGGTGACCCCGGGTATTCGTCAGAACGTCACCCCAAAGAGAATGACGACAATTGAAGTCACCCAGCAGGAGCACAGGCTCCGGCAAGGAGTCTAGGAGGTGTTTCAAATCAGGAAGAGAGAGCGGGACACTCGGGGGGAGATAAATGGAACAAACTGTGTACCATTTCCCCACAAAGATACGAGCAGCAGAACAATGGAGAGGCGAAGGAAAAAGTAAAGGAACAAAGGGAACATCAGCCCGAATCAAGAGAGCAGAAGAATTAGAAGCCCCAGCAATGGCTGGGGGGGGGGGGGGGAGAGAAAGGAATAGCCACGAAAACGACCAGGACGAGCACCAAGCATTGGCTCCTGGAGACAGACACAAAGGGGCGAAAACCGCGAAACCAGAACTTGGAGTTCGAGGAAATTGGCGTAATAACCTCGAACGTTCCATTGAAGAATGGACAACGACGAGAAGAGAAAGGACAAAAACAGAGAACAAGGAAGAAACAAAGGCGAAAGACCAACAGAGCACGTTAAAGAATATCAGGGTCGGGATCAGGGTCAGCAAAGTCAGGGTTAGGGGGCATGGGTAAACTGAGCAAAGACGGAGGGAAGGAAACGGGAGAACAGATCAGAGGTGGGCGGGCAGGGTCCGGAGGAGGAGGAGACAACGGAGAGGAGCAGTCAAGGACAGCAGCAGGAAGAGGGGGAGTAGAAAGAGAGGAGCGCACCCCAGCAAGAGCAGCAACCGAAAGGGAAGCAGGGGCCAAAGAAACCTCCATAGCAGGAACAGGGGGCGCAAGCACTGAAACGGGAGGGGAAGGAGCAACAGAGCCAGGAGGAGGAGCCGAGGAAGAAAGCGAAGCCTTCTTACCCGCCGGGGAAGAGGAAGGAGAGGAGCCAGGCTTACGCTTCTGACTTAAAGAGACCGGTGTCCCAGCAACTACGTACCGGGCAACGGATTCCAGTGTCTCAACACGAGAAGCCGAACGAGAGCACACACGACGGCCGTTAGGAGAGCGATGGACATCCGCCTGCACCGACAGGCGGCGGGGAGAGCCAATAGATGGAGGAAGAGGATGGGAAGGAGGATTGGAGGGGGACGAGGAAGAAGACACAGAAGACACGACAGACCGGGTAGAAGGAAGGGGAACCCCCAGACAGAGGACCAGGAGGAGGATCCTTCGGGAGAGAACCCAAAGGGACAGAGGAGGGGGCAGTGGGCGCATCAGGGTCCAAGGCCCGGAAACGGTTGAGAGTCTGAGGAAGGCACGAAGGACGAGGAGAGGAAGAGCGCAACACACGAGCATAAGAGATATTAGCATAAGGCGGGACCCGGCGAACCTGGTGCCTTGCCTCAGGAAAAGATAAACGCTCCCGGTGCTTCAAGTTGAGGACGGCTGCCTCAAGCTTGTAATGGACACACGCACGGGAGAAGGTAGGATGGGCCTCACCGCAGTTGAGGCAACGAGCCTGGGGAGAAGCGCACTCCGACTTAGAGTGACCTTCGCCACCACACAAAGGACAGAGACAGTCAGTCCCAGAGCAGCGGAGGGCACCATGCCCAAACCTCCAGCACTTGTTGCAGAGCCGAGGAGAAGGAATGTACTCCTGGACAGAGCACCTGGCACCAGCAAGAATGACAGAGGGTGGAAGGGTCCTACCATCAAAGGTAATCTTCACAACCCGGAGGGGTTGACGGCGACTACCACGAGGGGGACGAGTAAACGTGTCCACCTGGAGAATAGAATGGCCCTGGGCAGCGAGGATATGTCGAATATCGTCGTGGCAGTCGCGCAGGTCCCGAACACTGGTCGCAACATGGGGCGGGAGCAAAATAGTGCCAACACTGGCATTTAACTGAACGTTCTTCGAGACCCGAACGGGGGTCTCGCCAAGGCAGGATAAGGCAGCCAAGCGGGAAGCAGCATCCTGAGAAGGAGCAGCAACGACACGTGTACCGAGACGAGTGGGGTTGAAAGTAATGGAGGCATCCACAGAATCAATGAGATGTCGATGGAGGGAGAAATCGTCAGGAGGCGCAGAATCAAGAGGGAGGAGATCAAAATATTTGGCCCACGAAGCGGGACCAAACAAGGCTTGATAGGTAGCAGAACTGGAAGGAATCGAGCGAGGGCGGCCGTGACGAGGACGGCGGTGAGAACCCACAGAGAGAGAGGGGTTAAAAGGCGCAGTAGTTACAACTAGAGAAGGAGCCGCGCCAGGGGACGAGGTAGTCACCACTGGGGGCTTGGGGCTCGACCCAACCACAGAGGAGGGAGGGGAGCCAGAGGAAGGAGTCAGAGGCCAAAGGAGGAGCAAGGTCGGGGCCCAATGCAGCGGAGGCTACAGAGCCCGGTCTTCCAATACGAACCGACTCGGGGGCTTGGTCGCCCACCCCACGAGCCTGAGAAGGTAAACCAGAAGAAGCCGAAGCAGGGGTAATCATCTTGACGAAAGAAAGAATTCACTCACGAATGTGCCCCCACACCCACCATGGAGCCACAATTAGAGGCAGGACACCCAACAAGAAGCTATCGCCGATCTTGTCGGGGCCTCCTAGGGGTGCGTCGCGAGTATACGCCCCACAAACGCCACCTTAAGAAACCGACAGTCCGTCGAGATCGGGTTCAGTGACGATGTGGGGATTGACAATAAAAGGTTCCCCTCGCTCTCGACGTCGGGTACTGCAGTTCTACGGGTGCATGAGTATGCCTCCTCAAGCACCCGGGCGTCAAAATAGAAGAAGTCCAAGGGAAGAACCAGAACGAGCAAAAGGTCGGCAGGAAACGGCAAGCAGATAGGAGAAGAGGGGGGAGAAAAACGAAACAGAAGGAAAAGGAAAAGATGCCCAGCAGAATTGGAGAGGACGGCAGCAGGAGCACAAGGCTAGAAAAGGACAGAGGACTGTCCCAAGGAGCATCACACTCCGGCAGCCGCCCACTAAGCCCCCACACGGCGACAACGAGCTGAGCGGGGAGGGGGTTTTCCATTATAAACTAACCATTTCATTATATATTATTAAATATTATTTTTATTATTATTATATAATACTATATTTATATATTGGATTCATTAACAATATTTGCTCATTACCATTATTGAATATTTATTTACTAGTCAATAACAAAGTATTAAGCAATAATTATCATGAATATTCATTATATTTATAAAGTATAAATCAATTACAATTAATAAATACATCTATACGTAGTAATTGACACTTGTAATTAGTGTAATTAAAATAATGCAACTCATGGAAATATTTCTTGGCTATCTGCAGGCTTATCACTTTGGGGGTTCCGGCGGAGCACCCCCAAGGGCGAACGCGGCGGCTGCCCGCTGTAACTACGATTGTGTGTCGACCTCATGGGCGCAGTAGTCTGCCCTCGGGCTCCATCCCTTTTCCTGGTTCATCAATGGTGTACCTTGTGCGCCTTCCGTACTCGGTTCTGGAAGTATTAAGGCAGTAAGGGTGGGCAGAAACGGGCATGCAGTATGAACGTGACGGTCAAGGAACCTACCCCTTAAGGGTACTGCTGGAAGTAGTTTCTAAGAGGAGGGGGACATTTCCGGAAGCGAACTGGCCAAGTGTCAATGGATAAAGCCAGGGTGATACCCCTGCAGAAACTGGCAAAAGGAACACTGCCACAGGGTAAAGCAGTGACTAGAGGGGAAAGGAAAATAAACATTTCTTCCACGAAACTAGTCTGTAGCGAAGTAAGGTAACTACCAACCCGACCAGAACTTTACCGGGAAAAACCAACTAAAAACAGGTTGGGGGGGGGGGGGGAACAGTTACCGTATCTGGGTCAAGGGCAGAAGATAATCCAGGGGCAGGCATCTAGCAAGCAATAATTCATTTCTAAATAATCAAATAGAATATTATCAAACAACCAAACATTAACTATTTCTATGACCACTATGTATATAATATCAAATCGATATATAATTAAAACCATCATTCAATTATAAGAAACAGGTCTTAAGCCCCAACTGCAACATGCTTGCGTCCAGAGTGACACGAACACAAATTATAACGATGATAACCGAGTCCGTTACAGTCATCTACATTGTATCTGAGCCTATAGAAAATGAATAATTACCCTAAGAAACTACCTGAGGCAAACTGAAATGGAAACCAGGAAGGCTACGAATCCCTATATATTAAATAATGTCATTAATATAGTAAATTAACAGAAATAAGGACGAAAATACTAAACCAACTCCCACACTCATAAATTCATACGGACGACATGGGAATAATAACATGAATGACAGTACTATAAATTACTCTACCAACTAATGAATATATACATACATACACAAACAATAAATAGTATGTACCATACAAATATCACGAAGTTTTCACTAAGAAAATGTAAGAGAGACATAAGCAATAGAAGGATAGCCAAAAGCACTAAATAATCCTTCCAAAGTAATAGCTCGCAGGACCATTACCCCGCTAACAGGGCGGCCCCGCCCAGCTAAGGGCTACACAGGGGTCCCGGCTAACGGCGTAACGGACTGGCCCAGCTAATGGGCCTAGTACGGGGCCGACGGAGGGCATGGCGAAAAATGCCACAGAAAACGATAACAAGTAAACCAGAGGGAGGGTAAAACTAAGGCGACTAAAACCCCCACCTAATAATAAATAACTTAAATAAGTACTAGTATGATACACTACCAACCGTACTCCGCGCCTATCACAGCCTAGCTGAGTTACTTGATAACTTAATGGCAACGATAACTTAATGGCAAACAATAGTTAAACATCACAATTGCAAAACCAGTAAGAGTAAATAACGTGCACCTTGACCCGCATAAATTGCATTAATAAATTGAGGTCAATTAATGGTACGCAATACAAAGATATTCTTAAAGTCAAAGCCATGAGGCTTGTAATTCTGCAACTAGCAAAACCTAGGTTACTTTACTTAAAACTGTGCCTTCTTGTATTAAGGTATTTATTAATAAACTTATCATGCACGGGGGCAATCCATCAATCGTAATAATACATTCCAGAGAAACAAATCGTAGTTGCAAGCCAAACCAAGGTAACGGCAAGACGCTTGGACCCGCATCACGGGTCAAACATATATAATTTGTGAGCCATAAATTATATTAAACTGTCTTTCAGTTACAAACTTTTACATAGCCAGCGTTTAGAGTAGGGTAAGTCAATTACAGTCAATGATCTAACACTACATTCACGTCTCCTTTACATTTATATCTATTACCAATTTTTCTTCATTTCGGTAACATTTCCCATATATTACAAACTTATTTTATTCCCTACAATGCCTAACTAATAACATGTATATATATAAAATAGGGTACATTGGGTTTTAGAATACATAGCATGGTATTTACACTTTTAAGGCCATTAGTACGCGCACCCTTTCGGCCAGGTCCTTAATCTAAGATAATTATAATTAGGTAAATTCTAGCCCAATTAATAACATGATTGATACATTGCAACAAAGAAAAAAACTAAACATGACATTAGTAGGTACAGGTATATTAATCCACATTGGTATATTAAACATCATATTGCATTGACAGCTTGATTGGTCATTTATACTACCATTAATAGCCACCATACAGCAAATTGAAAGCACATAAGACACCAATGACCACAATGATAAAGTTTTTTTGCATTCGGTACATGATTAGGAGATTGGGTACCAATAGATACAGTGCAATTTTAAAGCAACAATGTAGAACACTGAAAATGCAATTAGGTACTTTTTATTTTAAATATTAGGTACTTAGGTACCTAATTAGCAACATTAGGTTTACGATATTAGGAGATTACAGTAAGATAATTATTAGGAGATTAGGTAATTCTAGTTTAAATATTTACTTATGATTCCCTACAACTATCTATTCCTTTATAATTCCCCCACAATATTTCTCTACATCAACTATATATTTCCCCTTCCTTGACCAGACCACATATTTACTGCCCTCCTATTTCTCTATATAATAGCCTCCACTTAATATCAATCCACATTAATAACCATTCAAAACACACTGGATATCTCAACCATCAAATTAGATCCTCGACGATTATGCACTATAAACATTTACTAGCAATTTTAATTCTTTCGTACCTTGTATGGAAGAGTGAAACTTGATCCTTCAACAGCTGGAGGTTGTCCCTAGAGTAACCACACAGGATGGTACCAACGTCATCCACCTCTAGGGTAGTCAAGCGTGTCAACTGCGAAACTATATTCTATTCAGCATTCTGAACATTCATATACGATAAACATTCCTTATCACCATTACTATCTCAAATACACGGCCATGCACTGTTCTAAAAACGAGACAGCTTGGGAAGCAGGTGCCTCATGGGCCAGTTTTGAAATGGGACATGCACTGGGTTATGAAACCAAGCGCCACTCCACCTGCAGAATGATATTTACTATTACTTGGGATTTCAGTTTTATGGACTACGTAACTAAATTCTTGGAGGAAGATGTGTTGAAATGAACATATCACACTCGCCTGCAGGTCACAGCCTCTTCCGTTACTCTGCAGTGTGGCGTTGGTTGGCCTCCACACATGCTGCTACATCATAAATAGATACTTCACCATTGCTCTGTTTCGCCCAGCCCGCACCTCTCCACACGCTCATCTGCAGGAAATAATGCAGATCAGCATCAATTTAACTTTCACAACAATTATTAAGGGCTATAACCATCTATTTATGATTACTATAGTACAAACTCCTTACACAATTTTTTCTCCCATGCGAAATCATTTGCTCTAATATAATTGTATAATTCAACCTCTAACAATTTGTATATTACTTTCTGATAGATCTACCAACGTCTAACTCAGTTTACATGAGGGAAAACTATAACATAGCAAAACATGTCTTGCACCTCGGATGAGTGCTAATTGGATTTTCAATACCATCAAAGCGCAGACATGACAATACCCTTCCCACACTCAAAACACCATGTCTGGTAGACCTACAATCCGAACCTAAACACGAGATTTACAATTCTTCGGGTTTCCTGATCGCGCATGATCATCCTCCCTCCCCCCAATGAGTGTCTGTTACAGTTCTGGCTACACAACATTAACTGCCAAATAATTACCTACCAGTAGTAATTGGGGTACCTATATCACCACAGATTGCCTGATAATGTTCCAGGGAAAGGAGACTTCCTACTACACAATTCTCCATTAACACTGAAAATCTAAGTCCACACCATATACGTCCTCCTACACAATGATAACCAACAGCTCTTACACCAATAGCTGAAGCTCAACCTTAAGTTCAAAAGTTACTTTTTTTCACTTTTGCCTCGACCTACACTACTGGTGGAGCGCACGCTATCCCGCTCACTACACAATTACACCAATATCAACAACATAACCACCACCTACACACTCCCACGTCTACCGTCGCCACCCACCTACAGTAAACAAGACAAATACTGTCACGAGGGTCACATCTGCAGTTGAAATTAATCAGCCATTCGTCGCAAGTCAACCGGAACATTCACATTACCTACACGTATAAATGATATTGTTGACCTTTATTTATGAGCTCTTTGTCCTACGAAGGAGGTCGCGCTTATTTCATGGTTTATAATAAATATACAGCAATTAACTTAATAATGGCAGCAACATTTTTAATAATAAGTAAATGTTTAATGTTATCACCTATGTACGTCAAACGACTCTGGGTCAATTTATGTCTACGTCCTTCGACTAAGACAGGAAGGCTACGTATTGTCAACGGTTCCCCTCCCCTCATACGTCAAATTATGTACCCAGGTAACCCGAACACTTTAAAGTGTAGGGGGGGGGGGGGGACAACAGCACTTTAAAATTGGATAAAAGACTACACTCGACCCCGAGCGCCCAAATCCTATCGACCGACTTACTACTCTTAATGACCAAAGTTACCGGAAGCAACACCACTATTCTCCTTACAGACTAGATTTTTAAATCTATTTGAACAACTTTTTACCCCACTTAACATTAATTACCGTAACTCATAGGTTTTCATATTTAAAACAAAACTGATGGGGGTCCTGATATGGCTGTAGTAATGAATGCTCAAACTTCCATTGCCCAAAGTAGGCTCCCAGTAATTAAATTTAAACGGGACGACCACATGATTAAAGAACCATAATTAATTACAATAAGGCGTTATTAGTGTATCCTAATACAATATTACTATGCCTCAAACTTTATTTACCTTGTGTCGGATAGGCCCATCATACCTTGGTAACTCAAGTAGCACATCTGGAACATCTCCCACCACCTTCTGCTCGGCAGGGTATGACTCCAATCATCGGTCCACCAGTGGTCCCATCACCACCTTCATATCTCAGGCACATTCGAGCTTCTGCTGGGGAACAAAATACAATACAATGTTACAAATCAATACAGTACGTAAACATTTATAACTATATTTTAGTACTGATTATGGGTCAGGACTAAAACATCTCGCTGTATATATAACCCCCAAACAGGGGGTATATACGCCAGCTATAAAATAATAGATATTTTTGCCCCTATGTGCGTTTTGACGGTGTACAGATTGACAGTGTAACCTAGGGGTCTGTCAGCCCTAGCGACCCCAAAGGGTAACGGGGTACCAGCTCAGAGTAACATCACGCCCTAACACTAACCTGCACACCTCTACTCGGCTAATTCTAGGGGCAAAATAACGTTCCGTTGCGCCTCAATGAGCAGGTGGACTCGATAGCCAATCACGTTTCTCATTTTCACTTGACGTCACATTGTCGCAAGCTGTACTGTTATTGGTCGGCTCGACGTAATTGGATACCTTAGTAATTCATGACAGTTATTTTTTTAAACTCAAATATATAAACTCAAATGTATACCCAAAGTATGAGAAACATACATGTACCAAACGGATGATAAATTATTAATTTTGATAGAATTTACCTACTTTAAATTATCTGTTAGATAAAGGACCTGCCCCAAACGCTGCGCGTACTAGTGGCTTTACAAGAGTGTAATTACTGTACTATGCTATGTATTCTCACAAACCCAATGTACCTTCTGGTATAGAAATAAATAAATACATTTAATGTTTTACATTACACTCACAAATGATGATTTTCGAATACTTATTATTAAATAAGTATTATTATAATTATTAAATAATAAGATTACTTATTCAAGATGTATGTACAGTACAACACAGTACATGATAGTACAGTACCGTAGACTACAGTTCCGTACGGTACGATGCACTACAGTATACTGTACTGTATACATTACAATACAGTCCATTAACTGTTGATGATTTTCTAGGATTAACATTTTTCTTCAAAAGAAAAGTGTTGGAGGTGGAATTCCTACACTACAGACCTACAGTGCATAGGGATGGGTGGGGGGGGGGGTATTGTGTGAAACCCGAACTAGGCTCCTGTGCCAGGTAAGTCCACTACGGGATATAGCCCGTGCTACTTTCCCCGCTCCTGTGCCAGGTAAGTCCACTACGGGCTCACCATAGCCCGTGCTACTTTCCCCGCTCCTGTGCCAGGAAAGTCTACTACGGCTCACCATAGCCCGTGCTACTTGGAACTTTTGTTCCCAGTAGCTGATTTTAAAACACCAACATGTACACTCCAGCGTTCGTTTCTCCAGCGTGGTGAAGTAGAGTGGTGACGTGTCTGTGGTTGATGTCAGTACGTCCTTCAGTACGCGTGTTTTGATTGCGTCAGCTGTACACTGTGTATAGCCACTGTGTCTTCTTAAGGCCTCCTGCAATGTAATTCTCGTAACTATCTGTTCTGTCCTCGCTTCCTCTATCACAGGATGGCACTACATGGAAAGGGAAGTGGGAGAGATCAGGGCGTCTAGTGAGGTGGCTTGAGGGCCCAATCTTCCCCCCCCCCCTGCCCAAGCACTTAGACTGAACGGTAGAGAGACGGTCTCGCTCTTGCAGGTCGGCGTTCAATCCCCGACCGTTCAAGTGGTCGGCGATTGGACAATCCGTTCAAGAACCTTTCCTTTCTTCCCGTCCCATCCCAAATCCTTATCCTGATCCCTTCCCAGTGCTTTATGGTCGTGATGGCTTGGCGCTTTCTCCTGATAGTTCCTTTCCCTTCTCCTCCCCCTTCCTTCCTGCTCCATCTATCAAGGTATTGAGAGAGTCGCTGTGAGGTCAGCCATCTCTAAATCGCCAAAGTCCGTCTGCCTGTCGATCTGTCCGCCTCGCCAGGGCTCCTCCTGCCTCTCGTTAACAGGCAAACTTTACCTATACACACGATAACGAGTACACTTCCCTCCGCCAATTGCCTGCTAACGATCCTAGAGTCTGGTTAGGCTTGGGAGGCTTATAAGCTGCCAAGTGCCTCGTTCAAGGGTTGTAAGGGAGAGTAATTGGTCACTAAAGTTTGGGGGTCCAAGAGCTCGGTATAGAGACGTCTTAGATGGTAGCGGGGACAACCAGGTCGCTATATGGATCTCTTCCCCAGGGGTCGTCGGGGTACAGGCGCGCTCAATGAACATAACAACACTAATGGAGAGATTAGGAAGAGATCCTTTGATGCTGGTCTCTCGCCGGAGATGGCCCGGCCAGCCTCCACGGCCTGGCTTATCTCTAAGGCGTACACACGCACGCACGTTAACGAACACTCATACACGCATGCAAACGCCCGCGTGCACACACACACACACACACACACACACACGTGTGTGGGGCCGGTGGCTGAGCGGCCAGCACGCTGGGCGCGTGATCCTGTGGTCCCTGGTTCGATTCCGGGCGCCGCCGAGAAACAATGGGCAGAGTTTCTTTCACCCTGATGGCCTGTTACCTAGCAGTAAATAGGTACCTGGGAGTTAGTCAGCTGTCACGGACTGCTTCCTGGGGTGTGTGTGGTGTTGGGAAAAAAATAGTAGTAACAGTTGAGAGGCGGGCCAAAAGAGCAGAGCTCAACCCCTGCAAGCACAACTAGGTGAATACACGCAAGGATAAACTATTCAACACGGGTGGGACACGAACAAGGGGACACAGGTGGAAACTGAGTACCCACATGAGCCACAGAGACGTTAGAAAGAACTTTTTCAGTGTCAGAGTAGTTAACATTTGGCTGTGGCAGTTTCAAATGTAGATATGATAGAGCCCAGTAGGCTCAGGAACCTGTACACCAGTTGATTCACAGTTGAGAGGCGGGACCAAAGAGCCAGAGCTCAACCCCCGCAAGCACAACTAGCTGAATACACACACCCAATGCGAGCTACACCACCTGGCAGCTCCCTCACACCCTCTTGGACTCGGAACCCTGAAACGCTCCTATTGAAGAAGAAAATTCAATTTTTTCATTTGTATTTGGTCCCGTGAAAGGAGGGGGGGAAGGGATGGAAGAGTGCGTTGGAAGGGGAGTAATGGGGAAGAAGATAGGACCACGGCGTGGGAAGGACATTAAATTTATATTTCACATTTTTAACGGAAGAATCAAACCGTGCCTCGTTATTGTATATGATTTGCGTAATAGGAATGTCTTTTGGGGAGAGGATGGAGACGGGAAGGGACATTGGTGGTGGGGGGGGGTGAAGAAAGGGGGAAAAAAAGATATTGGGTTTGTCACGTGACCTGAGGACTTGGATGGGAAGGAAGCCGTGTAGGGAGAGGCAGGTTATCCTAGGGGAGAGGATAACTTGTCACCTTGTCACACAAGATGACAAGGTGTGTGTGTGTGTGTGTAACTCTTGTGTCCACAAACTCCCTATGTCATCTGGTCCATTTGCCTTCTGACCTCGTTCTTGGACTAACTTTAAAAATCCGGATAAGTCAACTACCCTTATTAATGTTGATCAGACCACACACTACAAAATGAAGGGACGACGACGTTTCGGTTCGTCCTGGACGATTCTGAAGTAGATTGTGAGAATGATTCTCACAATCGACTTGAGAATGGTCCAGGACGGACCGAAACGTCGTCGTCCTTTCATTTTCTAGTGTGTGGGTCTGGTCAACATATTTCAACCACATTTTTTATCATTATCTCCATGCCTTTATTTATATTCCAGAGTTTATCTGCCGTAAATTCTGGCATCAAGAGCAGTGTCTAGTCCGAGCGAAATAAATGTCAAGAGATTTTGTCAGACATGAGGGATGTGCTGACAGGGTAGTTTTAACGCGGTTATTGGGAGTGAGAGCAGAGAGCATTGACCGCTACACGAGGGGGCGTTGGCACGGTCCGTGCTTTGTGTAGAGTTTGTGAATGTAGGGCATCTCCACAGGGCGCTGCTCCGTGCTGGATGTCGACATGTCTGTACTGGATCTTGAGTATGGAGTTCTGGGTTACCCACGATTCTTACTTCAAATGGTTTATCTATGCTGGAGTTCAGTGTGTGGGGTTGTCCTGGATCTTGTGTCTAGGTCATGGACTTTGGGTGTGAGAGGTTGCGAATCCTGTCATTTAATATTTGTGTCTACAGGATCCAATCTTGGATCCTGGCCATGCTTCTAATCCTCGGTTTTCTAATATATTGACTCACAGCCTGTTTTTCATCTATCTACTACATATATTTCTAACACACACACACATACATAGGGGCCTGCGGCCCAGTGGTCAATGTATTGGATTCATAGTCCTATAGCCCAGGGATCTATCCCAGGCAATGGTAAAAACATATGGGCAGAATTTCTTTCACTCTGATTCCCCTGTTACCTAGCAGTAAATAGGTACCTGGGAGTTAGACAGCTGTTCCGGGCTGCTTCCTAGGTGAGTGTGGGTGGGTGGGTATGGGTGTGTGGGTATGAGTGTGTGGGTATGGGTGTGTGGGTGTGAAAAAAAAGTGATTCACAGTTGCAAGGCGGGCTGAAAGAGCCAGAGCTCAACCCCCTCAAGCACAATTAGGTGAATACATATATTCTGTAATTTACTTCATACAAAAAAAAAATTCCATACATTGGGATCATTTTTTAATCGCGTATGTGAGACCAATCCTTGATTATGCAGTGCTAGCATAGAATTCTTATATAGTAATGCACAATTAATGCTGGAAGATATTAAGAAGTTTGCCGCCAAAATGGTTCCAGGTATTAAGATCAATTACAATTACCAATCAGGTCATTAGAGGAATATGGCTCTTCATAGAGACATGGAGCCTGTTAGATTTATCCAGGTCTTCCAAGACCAACTATTAATCTTGCCAGGATGCACCCCTGGGTACCTATTTACTCCTAGGTAAACATATGCAAAAGTTTACCTATTATTGTCTACAGGGGGTTGAGGTTTAGCTCCTAATGCCCCACACCTACTAGCCTTGTACTTTTTGTATTATAACCTGCCTACTCTCACTTTTACGAGCACATCCTTCGGGTAGGTCGCCCACATAAACTAGGAACAGCAGTGGTCCGAGTACAGCCGTGTGGGACCCAATTTGTTACATTCCACCAGATCAAAATTTTATCTCCAATTGTGACTCTCTGCTTTCTGTCTTTCAGATACTCCCTGAATTTCAGGGAGTATCTCAAGGAATAGTTTTCATTGACACTGGTCTGTACTTTAGTGCCTCCTTTCTATCCCCATTTTTTAAAATATTAGGACTATGTTTGCCTTTTACCAAACATTTTTTTATTTTTATTAACACATTTCGACATCTGCATTTGTGCAGCTACCCTATACTATATAAAGGGCGAGTACAGTGTTAAAGAAAAACTAGCTACATGATGTTAAAAATCCCCATCACACAGGATGGTTACTCATATGTGGCATGTGGCAAATTCACTGGAGGGACAGGTCCCAAATCTGCACAGTAAAATAACAACGTACTGCAGTGAACGACATGGAAGAAAATGCAGAATAGAACCAGTGAAGAGCAGGTGTGCCATAGGCACAATCAGAGAACACTGTATGAACATCAGAGGTCCACGGTAGTTCAACGTCCTACCAAAGAGCATCAGAAATAGTGCAGGAACAATCGTGGACATCAAGAGGAAACTAGATTGTTTCCTTCAAGGAGTGCCAGACCAACCGGGCTGTGGTGGGTATGTGGACCTGCGGGCCGCTCCAAGCAACAGCCTGGTGGACCAAACTCTCACAAGTCAAGTCTGGCCTCGGGCTGGGCTTGGGCAGTAGAAGAACTCCCAGAACCCCATCAACCAGGTATATGTGGGCCTGCGGGCCGCTCCAAGCAACAGCCTGGTGGACCAAACTCTCACAAGTCAAGTCTGGCCTCGGGCTGGGCTTGGGGAGTAGAAGAACTCCCTGAACCCCATCAACCAGGTAAATAGTCTGCACTGGCACACACTGGGTGCATTTGGGAGACTGCTTATTTCAAGAGTTTTATTACAACTCTTAGACAATGGGTGGCACTGTGCTTCTGCAGCCTCCTGGCAATGCAATGGTGTCTTCTTCTAAATCGGAATTAATTTCTAAGAAATGCCCAGAGACCTGAAAGCTGCAGTATTAAAAGCTATGACAAGTATTGTAATAATAGGTATTTGTATGGTCAGCACAGTAACCGGACTAGGCAATGTGATGTCATTACGATAATTCACCTTGGCAATAGACACATCTGGCAGGTTAGTGAGGCTGAGCCACTACCAGAATATTCAGATTGTAAACTGTGATAAACCTTTAATGCATTCACTAGAACACTATATTCTTGAAAGTGAAACCGTAACAGATTTTAGACCTGGCCTATTGTACCACCAACTGTGTAACTATTTCAGTGACTCGGGTGTTCTGGACAACATCCTAACAACTTATCCAAAATTTGCTTGTCCATTTTAAAGAATGAAGACCAATTTTATTTTTATTACTGTATTTCTAAGCTGCATCACTTATGAACCCATCCCTGCCCTTGTGTGGCAGTGCACAATAGAAAGTTGTTTTTACATATTCATACATTAAAACATTGATTGTAACCATGATATATACTGTATATGTACAATGGGGCCTTGACTTACGATGCTAATCCGTTCCCAGAGACAGATCATAAGTCGAAATATCGTAAGTCGAAGCGATTTTTCCCATAAGAAATAAAGGGAATTCAATTAATCCGTTCCCCACCCTCCAAAATATTAACATACAAATACATTTTATACTGAATTCAATGTTTTTTTTCTAACTACAATACAGTACCAAAGTGTCTCTTACCTTTATGGAGGGCTCTTGATGGTGTATGGAAGATGGTGATGAGGGGGGGAGGAGGAGAGTTGTTACCGTTTGAAAGGGGAGTCCCCTTCTATTATCACATCAGGCAGTGGTGTTTTCTCTGGGGTACTCTCTCTCCTATGTTTTGCCTGAATACCACTAGGACCTGGTTGTGGTTCAGTCCTTGTTTGTCTCACTACAAATTTGTCAAGAGACATTTGTTTTTCTCTTCATTTTAACATTTGTCTGTAATGATCCATCACAGTGTCATTGAATAGGTTAAGGCAACGACCTACTGCAGCTTGATTTGGGCCAGTCGTTTCATTAAAGGTTTGCAATTCTTCCCATGCTGCACACATTTTCTTAATTGTTGAGGAAGAGACATTCTGTACTCTTGTTTCTGCTCTATGGTCATCCTTGCATGGGTTTTCATATGTTGAGCCTTACCACTCACTTTCCTGGGACTCATGGCGTGATATATAGTAATTACTTTAATGTTCAAAATGCAACAAATCACCACAAAAGCGGAATTTCTTATAGCCGCGATCGTCACTAAGCGGGCAGCTGTAGTAAACTGAGGCAGGTCGGCCGAGTGACCGGGAACCACGAGCTCGGTCGACCCGAACGTGTACCAACAAATATCGGAAGTCGACGACACCATCGGATGTCGATTCACAATTTTTGATGAAATTTACATTGTAACTCGAAATTATCATAAGTAGGGGCAATCGTATGTTGAGATGCCACTGTACTAGCTTAGACCTATTGTCCTGTATATGACCCTCTGTCCTGCGTGACAGTGAATACCAGCATTATCCTCACTTTAATAAGACAATTAAAATCCTCAGAATAGGCAAAATTATAATTAATTTTGTCAATAAAGATGCTAATAATAAATAATGGTTTCTTCTGTTTATTTATAATTGTTTGAATTATTTAGTCGTTTAGTGTTTTTTGAGCCATGTGAACCCAGCAGTTATCTGTAAAGCTTAGCTGACTTTCTAACTGCTGGGTTTACAAGACCCAAAAGCCACTCAACAGGTAAATAACTCCCCAAACAATACAAAATAAACAGAAGAAAACATACAAAGCTAGCTTGGGCCTATTAGTACCAAATGTTACCACCAGGTAACTATTAGATCACTTATGGAGCAGGTAAAACAGTGTAATGAACCATCACCCATAGAGGGGCAGACAGGGAGCCACAGAGGCTCTTACCTGAAAGAGGCATTTCATTACATTAAATGCTGTTTTCCTTTTTGGATGCTCCTTTCATTGCCTTACCTTTTGGGCAAACTGCAGTCTGAAAGCAGCAAATGCATTAGAGGCCTTCACGAAAGAATGTTACAAAGACTTACCAGGCCAAAGTCTTACTTCTCCAAGGTTTATTTCCCGCTTTCGATACACTTCATCTGCCCAAGTTCCTTGCACAGGGTTTCTTGAGATTATCTTGAGATGATTTCGGGCCTTTTTTTTAGTGTCCCCGCGGCCCGGTCCTCGACCAGGCCTCCACCCCCAGGAAGCAGCCCGTGACAGCTGACTAACACCCAGGTACCTATTTACTGCTAGGTAACAGGGGCATAAGGTGAAAGAAACTCTGCCCATTGTTTCTCGCCGGCGCCTGGGATCGAACCCAGGACCACAGGATCACAAGTCCAGCGTGCTGTCCACTCGGCCGACCGGGTGTTCGTCTCTATCCTCTGAGCACCTCACAGTTCCTCTAAATCTGGTTCTACTAAATCTCTTATAACACTTTCCATTTTGGATAACACAAATAACTACAATACTCTAGTATGCTCAAATAATTATATTTATACTGTACAAATTTTTAAACTATAATATTGGAAGACTGTGGCATCAGTACAGTAGTGCTACACTGATAGTACAGTATAAAAAAGGATATACAAATTTGATCCAGCAGACATCCTTGGTAATATAACCATTTATAATATTGAAATAGTGATATTGGATATAATATATATATATATATGGATATAATGAAATAGAATTATTTCATGTTTAAGTTTGATTCTACATGTTTTCATGTAGATTATGTACAAACATGATCTACAGTAACATTTAAATTAATCAAAGTATATACAGTATGTATGATTATTGTACAATGCATCTTTGTCACACATTGTATATTAAAAACTGCCATAGAGTTATTAATAAAAGTTGATTAAATTTAGTTGGCTAAATTCTTCTATATTTAATTTACCAAAGGGCTCTCCTCCCCATCAATCAAGCAGTTTTGACAGGGACAGGAAGCCAACAGCCTGTCAAAGGTTTCCCTCCCCAACCCCTCCTAATTTTCTTGAGTTCATATTACTAGAATACTTAAACAAGTTCAAGTTCACAAAAGTATTAGACAGAAAGTCCAACTGATTCTTAGAAAGGTTTTAGGCTTGCCAGGTTTAGTATAATTGAATAATATATATCTATGCCACGAAGGAATATCTTCTCATTCAAGTACTCGTCATTGTCGTGCAGCAGACGTGGTGTGTGATTCATTGGAGAAAATCCCAAAGCGTCAATGCCAGCCTGTCAAATTATGAGATCAGTCAGTTGGTAGAAAACATAAATGCATGGAATATCTCTATGAAACAAAGATATGCGATGTGAGAAACAAACATTATTGTGGTTTGGACGTTTCATATTCACGGTTATACCAAAAGGCAAAAAAAGCAAAGGCCTAAAACTCTCAATTGCCAAAAGGCTGTGGAACAAAACTTGGTGGAGGTACACTTTCTTGCAATCAGGGACCAGTAGCAAACATGCTAGGCTTAAGTGTCAAATTTTAGAATATAAGTGTGTAATAACGTTCATAGAAATGATCAGTGCACAAAAAAGTAATCTTAGATAAATTAGTGAGCTATTCATTAGAGCCGTGGTATTGAAATACTCAAGTCATTAGCTCGCACTGCCAAATAATGTGAGCGCACGGTGACTTTACCAAGCATATACTATACATGCACGGAAGAGAAGAAAAAATTGGCATGGAAAAAGAAAAGCCCATGAACAAATATATAAAGTACATAATGGAAAAACAACAATGACATAACCCTGAAATGAGAAAATATAGATTACCCAATTGTCCTGCAGTACGAATGTAGGCAAGGTAAAAAAAAAAAAAAACAGAGAAAGAGATCATCATTTCTATGGTTAAATTTCCACGATCAACCAAGAGGAATTCATTTTAATATTATTAATCAATTCAACTTATTGCATCTATATTTGTACACTACGGACACAAGCATCCAAAATGAGGTCCTTTGGTGGTATTACAAGTAACTCATTTGTTTCCCCACAACAACGGCCTAAATAGGTTAGGTGGACTGGTCTAGGTTCGTATACTTAGGGTGTGGCAAAAAGTGAATCTAATTAAACATTTGTCAAATATTGAGAATAAGCCATTATTAATAAAACAACATTTCATTAATAAATATTCCATATTAAGCTGCGCTTAATATTTGTAGCTTAATAGTGTAAATTTTTTTGCAACTATATATTTCTAAAGTAACACAATATTCTGAGTACACTAATAATACATTTAACTGCAAAAGTAATTTGTCTAATCCACTATTTATTGATATTTGCAATGCCAGTATAACAATTTTATGAAATATTGATCAATTTCTATGTTTATCATACACCTAAATACATTCCTGAGCACTGGTTGTCCTGTCACTCCCTCTGGCATCATCTTGGTCCTCATGAACATCGCAAACTCCAACCTGGGCCTTATCAACCTTCTACCACAGTGGTAATCTTTCATAAATGCACCCACAAGGCCATAACAGGAGGAAGTTAGGCATATGAGAATTCTCACCCTAGTTCAGAACGATCATTGTAAGGTACACTTTTCTACACGCAACAACCTTCCTATAAGTAACACTTGAAATAAACTTGCAAATATAGTTCCCTTATTCCTAAAAACCCTTGGTGCCTTCTTTTGATAATTACTTATTTACTCCTAAAAACCAATAACAAGTTGCTTGCCTGGTTCTGCCCACCAACTGTTATAAGGGGGTGGTACTATAAGAAAAGTGTCAGCCGATGAATGAATGTCTTTTTCGCAGACTTACGAGCTGTGAATACTAGCTCGGTTGGCAAGGGATTTCTTCTTGAAATTAAGTAACATTTGATTAAGTAAGACTGTTTTGGTCACTTATATGATAGGACTAAGCCTTGTTGATCACCATGTAAATGTGTATCCACTGTCTTTGCATGTGCCTTGAGCTTACTGAACTTGTTAGGAAGGAGTGTTCTCATGTCAGGTCCGTTGACCATTGAACTGGGGTTTTTTCCCTCTGAGTTGCCCCTTCCTCTTGCAGGGGCACAGGAATCTGGTTCCAAGCCTGCATGATTGGGTTGGGTGCAGTTAATGTTCAATGGGTTACCATGGCCCTTTGTGTGTGTATGCATTGCTCAACCACATGGGTCTCGCTTGTTAGTGCTGTGACCTTTATTATAGCTATCGTGTTTTTATGCACCACTAGTCAGCACTTGCCTTTCCATGTCAATAGATGATTATAACAATATTTCATATAATATACACATGAACATGAAACTATATTCAATATACTGCAGTTTATTTTTAGAGGTTGCATATTAAATAAACATACTAATACACGATGTGTACTGTAGTAGGTTTTGCTGTGAGCTGTCGCGCCACTAGGTCCTCCTTCACAATTGTAGTCACAAGACTCTCATGGTTTTTCAAACATTTTATAAAATGTGACAATTTGGCACTGCAGTCATAGTCCCCAATTCAGAATCCCCAACAGCTCTCAAGAGTGTTTGCTCTCACTAGCTTCAATCAGATTCCTCTCACTTTTGCACCTTGGATCCCCATGGTCTGATGTCACAGACAATAGGGATGTTTTTTTAAGTAATTATCAAAAGGTGGCACCAAGCCATAAAGACTATAGAGCAGGTGCTCTTAAATTACACTTAACATAAACATAGTATTAACAGGCAGTCTCACTACCATTTCAATGGGTATAGTTTGGCTCGGCTATGAATAAAAAATTGCAATGATAAAGTACACACACACACACAGTGTCTTTCCTTACATTCTTTTTTGCACCTTTTTTCCTGTTTTTCTCTCTCTGGGATGAGTGGGAGGAGTGAGATGTGTTCACAGGCCGACTCTGTTTACACTGCAGTATTTACTGCTGCTGCCTGATGATAGGTGGCAGTCAAGTGGGCAACTTGTTATTGGATGTTAAGACAGCCAAGCATTGAATTTAAAGATTTGCTTGAAAGAGGTTTTTAAGTGTAAAATAATGTATCTTCTGACACTCATTCCACACTGCATTGAGAATTCTTCAGAGTATCTCCTACTGTTACAGCCAGGCAATGATATTTCTAAAAAGATTCCCCCCCCCCACTATAAAGGGATAAGAAAAGATGTGCTGGACCAGCCTGGAATTCGTAATTGCCTAAGGGACGGACCTACCAACTGACCACCTCACAAAAGAACATCTACACTCAGTACTAGTAAAACAAACATTTTTGAATCATACCCTTCGAATGTATTTCATGTCTGTAGATGCAGGAAATATGCTCTTCTCCAGCTGTACATTCCTGCAAAATACATAACATTTTAGTTATAATGGAATGAACCTGTTGCAATACCATTACTAAAAGGTAAGCACATAGTTTCAGCATTACTAGTAATGATAGCTGAGGACATACTGGTAACCTGTGTCTGTATCATTACTGGCAGCTGAAAATATATTGTCATTACTACTGGCATCTGGAAACAAAAATAACAAATGACTATGATATGAACAGCTGAGGAGATTAGTGATGATCGACTTTCATTATTACTAGCTGTGGGATTTGACAGTCAAACTTACATCATTATTAGTAGCTATTAGACCGAAGTCATCCACAATGCTTCCATTTTACCTATCTTTTTTTTTTTTTACAATTAGCACACAAAGTACATATCATCAACTCATTCATTAAAAACGTGTGAGCATATTGAGGAACACACAGAAATATAAATTTGATTAAGCAGTATTTTCATATCAACAAAACTTATATTGATAATTACTCTTTTTTGCAGGCAGCAGAGAAGGCATCCCACCAGGGATTCTTTCCATCTTCCACACACGTCTGTTCTTTTATCATAATCTGAAAACAGCACTCATAAAATGAAATGAGAATCTGACCTCTAGAGAGGGCATCATGTTTATGAGGAAGCAGGCCACTAAGGGGGGTGAGTGAGTGAGTAACTTGCTTCAAGACAAGCTTTACATGTATACTCAAAAGCCAATTGTTTTTTGTCTATACAGAATTTCTGGAGGAGAGTTCTAGTATTTACTCAGTGTCATGTACCACAGTGTTTGGCTATCATGCAACTTTGAGAATAAACATGATTTAATAACAAATCGACAAGGGCCGTGATGAGGGTTCGAACCTACGCATGGGATGTTCCCAAATGTGCCTTAGTCATCACGAAATATCATCACAGCCCTTGTGGATTTGTTCATTTGATATATCATGTTATTGTGATTTCTGTGTGTATGATCTAATAACATTTTATAAAAGCCTCATCAATTACTGTAATATATAATTTATAATTTATCATTTACAATAAAAAATAACCTAGTGTAGGAATATTAACTTACCTTCTGTTTAACTGCATACAAGACGTCTTCCCCAGCTGCTTTACACCAAGCTTGGATCCTTTCTTCAAATGTATCTATATCTGATGCACAAATACGCACATCAAATTCCGCATATAGTTCTGCTGGTACAACATTGGTTTGTACACCACCCTACAAGAGAGCAGTACAAATTTATTCATTTTTTTTCAATACTGTATAGGGATTTTAATGTATGTGGTACAAATGTCCAATATAATTTTTTTTTTAATATGATTGCATGCACAATTCCTCACAGTTACGTTTAAAGGTCAGTTAAAATAAGTTGAGATCATTCTTTGTCTTAGCATTGCAAACTTTCATGTGTCAAATCATGCATTAAATTCAATACATGTATTTAGAATGATAATTTGTCGGTACAGTATCAACTAATTTATAGAAAACTGTACACCCAAATCCTGTTATAATTACCTAAATAATATAGATACCGGGTAAATAAAATATTTTCTTAGTATTATTTATAATGAATAGAATATGATTATGCCAAAATGTAAACATTTTAAATTTAGCCCTTAAACTGCGCAACACAACATATGACGTGTTGAGTAACTGATGCAAAAGTGCGCACCCCTTCATATGATGTTTTGGGGTAACGCGCAAGATTTAAACAGCCCGCGGCTACACAGGGTTCACATCAGCTTCCTCAGGGTTCTTGTAAACAGACACCATTTTAATAAAAAATCGCAGGTAACATTCCCGGTGTGAAAGCCTCAGTACTGAGTGAGCCACCAAGGCTTGTGCACGCAGCATGAGCTAGCAGCACTGCTCTTCACTTGTGACCACAGCATCCCCTAAAAATGTCAAAAATATATGTAATTGGTATTATTTAGCAATGACAGTATTACAGAAGACACCTGACTCTGATAAAAATGACCAGGATTCTGATAATAGCAGGATTGTTGTGATAATTTGTGCTATGCTGTGGGAGGAGTAATGATGAGGGTGAGAGGGCTGTAGCGTCATCTGCCAAATCTGTGTGGCCACCTGTTGCTGTCTGCGCTTACTATACCAGCTTAGTGGTTCGCTATGGTGAATAAAACATGCAGATACTTATATATAATGTCTGTACATAGTGAAAAAAGCAAAAACAGTACGGTGGGAGCAGAATGTTGGCAAGTGAAGTGAGGTGAGGGAGGGAGTGGCGGCCAGTGGCTGGCTGCCTGGTGTGCCGCCCTCCTCGCTGCTTTTTATCTCAGCATACCGACTTAGTGGTTCGTTATGGTGAACACAAATGTAGATACTTATATATAACGTGTATACATAGTGTAATAACAGCAAAGGGAGTGTTGGGAGAAGCCATTTTGGTGAGGGAGGTTGTATCATCTGCATGACTTGTCATGCTGGGTAGGGGTGGCCACTATGTTCTTTGGTAACAACCCATCCATCGTGCCTGCCCACCCACCTGCTAACCCTGCCCGCCAGTCAGCCACCTACCCACCCTGCCTGTCCACCTGCCCACTCTGCGCATCCACCAACCCACCCACCAGTCAGTAACGTTTTTTCAGCACAAACTATTTCACCTTGATGATGGTGTGTTCAGTGAGGGTTGTGTTCAGTGATGGTTGAAGTATTGTTGTATGAGAATGGGAAGTCATGTGTGCAGCTGTACAAACTGACAGGAATGATGGTACAGGCACCAATATTACCTACTCGGCATCGTCATTCATTAATATTCATTTTCTTTTTGAGATGCATTTATTTTATGTATTTTTTTTCCAGAATGTATAAGTTAATTACATAGTTACATTCATACATGTTTGGGCATAATTATCTCCCATTCCTGTCAGTGTGTATGTAAGATTTCTTGCGAAATGGTTCTGGCTGTTGTGTGTGGCGGGGGAGGTGAGCGCGGGCGCTCGGTGGCTGTGCACGTGTGGAGGGAACTGGTTGTGATTGAAGATATAAGTCTGTTATGGGTTTTGTTCTTGTAGTTAAGTGTTGTTAGTGAGTCAAGGTAGATAAGAACTGTACAATATTATAAACTATCCATTTATAATTTTATCGCTGGGAATCAACCCAGTGGAGATTAATTCTTATTGTTTTGCCTTGCTATGTCCTGAATTCTGGACAAATTAAATTTTGCGTTGTGCCATTTACTCTGGATATATTTTTTTTCTTTATTTGTCCTACCATAAAGTGGTGTTTTTAATGTTAACACAGTTGTTTTACTTAAATAACCCTAGATATTATTGAACTGTGGTAGGCTAATGTGAATATTAGTAATTGTGACGAAAGCAAGAGCACAGCTTAATGCGTAGTCATAACACAGCTCACTTGCTTGGATAGAAAAAATTCAGAAATTAGAAACATTTAAATGCATTTGACTTTTTTAATACTAGCACGTACCTTAAGGACAGTGAGATTTATAGTTGTCACATCACCCAGTTTAAGGTTAGAGTTATTCTTCAGTTTCTGTAGCTGTTCTTCGCGGTAACCAAGAAAAGAATTGATGACACGACGCATCTTCTCTCCTGCCGTATTTGGAAGGAACTGCGAGCCATGTCCTGGCTGGCCTTTACACGTGATCGTTGTTTCTTAAAAAAAAAATGAAAAAATATCTACTCGGTAACATTTTATAGGAAACACGGCAATATTTATGAAATTATCTTTGCTTTGTCTTTTCAGAATGAAGCAATGATGGTTCCTTTAAATGATAATCTTTATGGGTTTTAAAATAATGCCTATTCCGTATCACTTCAACATTCATTTCCTTTGGTATTCAACCTAATTTTGTTCAATTTGTATTAGTGTAATGTTATTTACTGATTTACAGAACAAATGGTACCTATTAGTTATCACATAAGCAGAGGATGGGAACCATGTTTTTACACCTACACAAGGAATGTGCTACAGTGTATATTTACACTATATATACTGTACAGGCGACTAAAAAGTGAAGAAAGTGCATTTACTGCAGTTCAATAAGGTTAAGCAGAGGAGAAAACACTAGGCCAGTATGACTGTACTGTATAGCACCTGGAAGGAATACGAGGACATGATACAAGCTGGGATACGAGGACATGATACAAGCTGGGATGCGAGGATGATGGTAAAGGAACGGTGTCCAACCCATTGGACCATTAGGGATCGAACGCCAAGCTGCGTGAGGCGAGGACATTGCTGTACTGACCGGTCCAAGTGGTTGACCAGGGAAAGGCCCAGGGGCCAGATTCACGAAGCCGTTATGCAAGTACTTGCGTACGTGTACATCTTTCCTCAATCTTTGATAGCTTTGGTTACATTTATTAAACAGTTTACAAGCATGAAAACTTGCCAATCAACTGTTGTTTTTGTTATAAACAGCCTCCTGGTGCTTCAGAGCTCATTAACTGTTTAATAATTGTAAACAAAGCCACCAAAGATTGAGAAAAGATGTTCAGGTTTGTAAGTGTTTGCGTAACTGCTTCGTGAATCTGGCCCCAGAAGTGGAGCAGACATTAGCAAGAATGTGCAAGACAGAACTACCATATGTGTACATGAACAAAGTGCTGTATTAGAAGTGGCAATTAAAAAAAAAAAAAGAATGAAAGGGTGCTTTATAATCAGGTTGACTTAGCGCACACACTCATCCTAAGTTGGGATAAGAATGAAAGGGAATGAGAGAGGAATGAAACCACTGTCAATGGTTTGACAGTGACATTTCACATAAAATACTTTCCATTATATTTCTGAAATTACTGAAATGAAGGTAAAGCATGCTTTGCTAGAGTGTGATATAGTGCAGGTGAAAGTATAAGGTATTTTGACAAGCCAGGAGTCACACTGATACTTCTAAAGTTTCTTTCCTCATTTCCAGGAAAGTATTTCTCCAACCCATGAAACTTGGGGGGAGGGGGGGAGAATACATGATAATGCTGCAAAAAGTCAATTGATTTTTAACAAAATCTAGAACATGACCTACTGGTAACTGCAGTTTGACTGCAAAGCAACTGCACTATAATACACATATGTATGTGGGGGGAGATGCAATACATGGATTGTGTTCTAAAGTTTAAAGTCTACATGCTTCTAAATGAGAGTGTGAGAAAATTAGGTTAATTACCTCAATAAAGGATACAACTTGAAGTACATCAGTAGCAGAGGCATTCACAGGCTGCAGGAATGTACATTAAATAAACCTGTGTTTCTGCACTAACCAGTCAAGTTGAAATTCATAGGATAGATTACCATGACAAAAGTCTTATCAGGAGAAAGTGCCTAGCCGTTACGACTATATAGCACTAGGAAGGGGTCAGGATAAGGATTTGGGACAGGAAGGAATGGTGACCAACCACTTGTGAACGGTCGGGGATTGAACGCCGACCTGCCTGAAGCGAGACCGTCGCTCTACCGTCCAGCCCAAGTGGTTGAAAGACTACCATGACAAGTGTAAATTTATGAAGGGGAATTATACCCTGTGTCATAGACATTAGAAAATGTTAAAGCAAGAATTCACTAATAAAAGTAAAAAAGAATTATGAAGGCAGCAAGATAGGCGAATAATTCAACCCATGCCGTTTAAATACTACTTTTTTTTTCAACTATGCGGACCATCATACCTATACTGACATAATGGACAATTAAATAGTAGAAGTTGGAACTGTTCACTTCATAGAGCCTGGAAAAACAAAGCAAAAAACAAAACTAAAAAATTCCTAGACTTAATATAGCACATAAATATACTGTTAGGCCAGACAGCATGTATTAAGCCTAAGATGGTTAGATTTTATTCACAACATATATAAACACCAAACCTTTCCCAGTTTGTCCGAATTCTAAATTCTATTTGTCCATTACGTCAATATGCCGCATGTACGATGATTCAAATCGTTACTATAAGTACAGCGGTCATACTATACTCCCAGAGTACTACAGCGGTCGTACGTACTCCCCCTGTACTATAAGTACAAGGGGAGCCGGTCGGCCGAGCGGACAGCACGCTGGACTTGTGATCCTGTGGTCCCGGGTTCGATCCCAGGGGCCGACGAGAAACAATGGGCAGAGTTTCTTTCACCCTATGCCCCTGTTACCTAGCAGTAAAATAGGTACCTGGGTGTTAGTCAGCTGTCACTGGCTGCTTCCTGGGGGTGGAGGCCTGGTCGAGGACCGGGCCGCGGGGACACTAAAAAGCCCCGAAATCATCTCAAGATAACCTCAAGATAACAGTAGTATCTAAACAGGAGGCTGGACGGCCATAATCATACACTAAAGTTATGTAACCACGAAGAAAATGGGAGTAAAGAATGGCTGCAGAAAAGTTAACTTACAATGTGTAGAAATCCTTAAGAAATCATCTGACTATGAACATGGGTGAGGTTTACATAAAGGATAGGATAAAAAAAAGATTGGGCCATCAATTTGAAGAACCGAAATAGTATATCCTAGATCATGTGTGGGCAAGCCTGAGACAGCAAATATCCACTATTTACATAATATTGCAATATATATATATTATATATATTTAGCCTAATTAATAATTATGATACTGTAATGTATATGAAAAAAAGATTTATATATTTTCATGAAATGATGTAACCTTACTCCATTGACTCCTTTGGCCGTAAAAAACTTCAATTTTCTCGGTTGGGCTTGAATAGCCCTCATCAAGTGCCAAGCCAACGTTCATCTTCTTGAACACGTCCATCTCAACAAGTCGTCCCATACCATCAGCTCCGCCTATTTCCTCTTCTGTGAAAGCCAAAAAAAAACAGCGTTGAATGTAATGAAACGCCATTTTCTGCGTGAGTCCCGGAGGCTCCCCGGAGCCTACGGGGCTTCCCCCAGAAAAGTGGAAGAAATTGAGACTGGTAAATATATAATAATAATTCACAGTGTTGGGGGGACAGGCAGTCAGAGTGTATTCATACGCGTAAGACTTATATCGAGGAGCCTCTTCCACCTCCCCCTCCCCCAGGTCGAATTACTGATCCCGCCCACGATGCAGCCCCACAACAAGCTGACTAATTCCCAAGTACCTACTTCAAGTATGTTTATTGAGACAAGAAAGAAATACATCTCAAAGGGATCGAGTAGCTTAGGCTATTTCTACCCCCCTAACAGTATCTAGCCTAACGTCCAGCCTAACAGTAGCAGTACCTACTTACTGCTAAGTGCACAGAGGCATTAGTTGAAAGGAAATGTGCCCAACCATTTCTGCCCCGTCCGGGATTCGAACCCGGATTTCTCTGTTGTGCATTGACAATGAACCCGACTGTACTACTGGGGACCCTAATTTTGTCACACACAGTACAGTATATGATAAAAGTTTATAATATAAAAACGTTATAAAAGTTTCATTAATATGCAAAAAATCACTCATAAAATCTCAAATGTCTTAAGCTCATTATTGATAAGCTCAAATAATATCAAGGTGCTTAGAAAACTACTAGGGTATTAAGTAGGAAATTTTTTTAAAATTTATATACAGTATATTTAAATATATACAAAAAATTGAGCATTACCATAATGCAGCCAATGTGACTTGCAAAGTACTGTAATTCATCCTACACACACTCTTGAGAGACACGTAACTCTACATGTTCCGGGCAGGACAGAAATGGTTGGGTGCTTTTCCTATTAACTAATGCCCCTGTTCACCTAGCAGTAAGTAGGTACCCAGGAGTTTGTCAGCTTCTTGTAGGGTTGCATTCTGGGGAGGGTCAGTAGTTCGACCATGGGAGGGGACCTCGATATAAACCTAACATGTATATATATATTTTATACCTGGAAAAGATCATCAAGGCATAGGGAGGGGGCCCCGTCAACACGCCGCTGGCTTCCTGTCCTCATTGAGGCCACTAGGGTTAGTGGACCTAAGGTAAATATACACTGGCTGCCTGTTCCCTGACACAATGAATTAATTATGTTGTTCCAGTCGATGGCAAAAATCATCAAAACACTAAACCTGTACTTTAACACTGAAATTGTTAAATCTGGAAGCCAAGAAGTTCTTGAAGTCCTGATTACTAGTGGGAATCTTATGCCAGAAAAATCAATGTATAAATGTGAATAAGTGTAATAGAAATTTACATTGAGATTATTAGAAATAAATGTCTAATGTTACACTTCAGTTTTATCTATTCAGTCTCACTCTAGATTATGCTGCTCAATTCAGTTTTGGACTCTACAGAAGGTACATAAATTCCCTTAGTTAATCCTGGGCATTAGGACCTTGATTATCAAGAAAGAAGAGAAAGCTTAATTTACATTCTCTACAATGGCAAATAATAAACAGTTATATGATTGAAGTGTAGTATACAAGTGAATGAAAGGGTATAATAAGGGGATATTAAAAAAAAAGTGTTAATATATACTGCACATGGAAAACAAAATGCAAAACAATGAATATAAATTGCCTAAGTTTAGATTAAAGATTTGGAAATAGAATTGTGGAGTTGCAAATGTATGGCATAGATTGCCTGATAGCATAATAGATATTGAGTTCCTAAAGAGTTTAAAGTTAAACAAATGTGTGTTGATGGATATACACAAGAGCTGTCTTCCATGGGTCAATAGGCCTTCTGCCATTTGCAGGCAATGAGTCACAATAACGTGGCTAAAGTATGATGACCACACCACACACTAGAATGTGAAGGGACGACGACATTTCGGTCCGTCCTGGACCATTCTCAAGTCGAGGACTCTACAGTCCTTGATTTGAGAATGCTCCAGAACGACCGAAACTTCGTCGTTCCTTCACATTCTAGTGTGTGGTCTGGTCATCCTTCTGTCATTGCATGTCCCAGTAGTGTTAATTAATTAAGCAAAGTCACAAATTTGAAGTGGTTACAAACCGGGTACAAAAGTCAGATGAATAGTGCGAAGGAATTTGTGTCCCTCTTTTTTTAAGCGTTTAAGAGCCTCCAAATACTGGATTCCAACACATTTCATATCTTGAGTTCCTCGTCCATAAATGTCCCCTTTTTCATCCTTGTGTGCACTGAAAGGGTCGTATTTCCAGTGTTCCTACCAAGAAAAGAAATGTTAGCTTACAGTGTACAGTATTTTTAAAGTACAACACTATACTTCCATTTCTATTACTAGTTCACTATTGGAGTAATTGGGATAGTTTTTTTTTTTAGTACAATAGGAGTAAGAGAACATTATTGCAAGCCTAGGTGGTGGCACAACACACCAGTCGCATGTGCAGAGGTGTATTGTGGTAGCGAAGGGTGTCTCGTGCGGTACCAGCAGTCTTAGACTAACTGCCAGCAACTGACAGCCTAAACAATCCGATGATTCGTACCCGTCCCTTAACCCTAAGAGCAAAACTCAGCTGAGGTTTTCGATAAAAAAAAGGGGGAGGGGGGGGGGGGAGGACGCAAAATATTTTCCAGTTTTTTTTTTTAAATATAAGTTTAATTATGTGGTTTGTCCGACTGACATTCATCTCTCAAACCAATATTTCAGAGCTCAGAGAAAAGAGAACATCTGTACACAATATTCATTTCTATTTAAAAATTGCCCAGAAAAATCATCAACATATTTCATTATAATTTTCATTACTGCAAAATATCATTCATTGTTATCCTGTCTTAACTGTCATTATAACCACACACAATATAGAAATATACAGTGCAAGAAAACTTTTCAGTGAAATTTTTGCATTTAAAAAACACTGAATGAAATGCACTCTTGAAATGTTCTTATTAGATCTAGATATCCAGCTAATTCGTGCTTTAACGATATTGTGGCAAGTACCTGTCCATTAACTGTTGATGATTTTTTAGGATTAACACTTTTCTTCAAAAGAGAAGCGTTGGAGGTGGAATTCCTAGACTACAGAGCTAGAGTGCATAGGGATGGGAGGGGGGGGGGGGGGTACTGTATTGTGTGAAACCCTGACTAGGCTTCAGTGAAAGCCTCTGGAACTCCAGAGGATTCATTTGAATTCCAGGTTGCAATGCTTTTGAGCATGTCTTGGTTGTCCGAGTCATTTGCTTTGGCATAAATTATTGATTAGGAATAACATAGGTTCGAATCCTCCTGACGGCTCGTTACTGACTTTCTCAATAATAATAATAATAATAATAATAATAATAATGATACAAAAGGAAATCACAATAACATAAAATTTCAACAGAAATTTTTTGGGCATGGCTGGGAATAATATCCAAGTTACTGGTTCAATACCCGTACTGCCCCCTCTTCTCCCCCCCCTGCCGACCGACCGGCCGAGCGGACAGCACGCTGGACACATGATCTTGTGATCCCGGGCGCCAGCGAGAAACGATGGGCAGAGTTTCTTTCACTCTATGCCCCTGTTACCTAGCAGTAAATAGGTACCTGGGTGTTAGTCAGCTGTCACGGGCTGCTTCCTGGGGGTGGAGGCCTGGTCGAGGACCGGGCCACGGGGACACTAAAGCCCCGAAATCAACTCAAGATAACCCCAAAACGATTCTCATTAATAGTAACAACAAATAAAAGAGCAATGCTACTAAAAAATAAAGATATAACAGCATACCGGAAACACAGGAACAACATCGGTGTGGGAGTTGAGGAGAAGCGACGGCAAGCTTGGGTCGCCTCCTAACAAAGTCATGATGGCAGCCGGCCGGCCGGGTACACACTCCACGACCTGCAGCGCTGCCTCCAGCTCCTGGGCCTGGCCCCGTAAATACTCAATACATCCATCTGTAAAAAAAAAATATATTCGTTACAATACAGTAGGCCTACCCAAGCCAGCTACAACGGAGGATAGAAAACAATATGCCTATTTCAGCTCTAAATCTAAATGGACAATGGAGGGAGGACAGTCTATGACAAGCAGCCAGCTAACTGTCCCCATCAAAGCCACTAGAGACCCTCAGGTACACCCGGTAACAGTGCCAACAGTGCCAGCCTCACCGTAATCTGGATCAGGTTGAACAGTCTTGATCCTAATATAATTGCGGAAATTGGTAACGGCAGGATGTTCCTCGTCCGCCATCGCTGTCAAGAGTGACACTCACGCTGGACTGGACACAATTACCGGACAGAAATGACCGTTAGAATGTCATAGTGACTGACATAATTCCCCCTCCGGCAGTTACTAACCTCAGTCCAAGTCAGTCTCCTCTACGGATGCCACGCTCATCTCAAACTACTAATAAACAATATATAAAATCATATTTAAAATCATAAATAATAATAATGTTTACCGAAAACAAATATATATAATTGTATTAGTTATATTATACTGTATAGAGGAAGTATGTAGCACAGTATTACAATGTTTATAATTGCCCAAAATATATATATATTGAAATACGTATGTACTGCGCAACATTTTGTAGACATTTAAACTACAACATTAATGTTGATATCTATTGCAGTGTATAACTAGACGGAAGAATGATTAGTTTACATTGTTGAATACTTCAAAGTCTACAACCACAGTATCATCCGTAAATGATACTGACTTGGACTTGGTGTAGGCGAAGAGCTTAAGTGGTGGTGTAATTACCTAATTGTCCTTGCGGGGATTGAGCTTTGTTTCTTCTTTCTTTCCTCTCAACTGTCAATCAACTGGTGTACAGGTTCCTGAGCCTACTGGGCTCTATCATATCTACACTTGAAACTGTGTATGGAGTCAGCCACCACCACATCACCCCCTAATGCATTCCATTTATTAACTACTCTGACACTGAAAAAGTTCTTTCTAACGTCTCTGTGGCTCATGTGGGTACTCAGTCTCCACCTGTGTCCCCTTGTTCGTGTCCCACCAGTGTTGAATAGTTTGTCTTTGTCCATCCTGTCAATTCCACTGAGGATTTTGTAGGTGGTTATCATGTCTCCCCTTACTCTTGGGGGTTCTTGGCCCCTTGGGTGTCAGGGGTTCGTGGTGGTGTCAGGGGTTGGTGGTGGTGTCAGGGGTTAGTGGTGGTGTCAGGTGTTAGTGGTGGTGTCAGGGGTTAGTGGTGGTGTCAGGGGTTAGTGGTGGTGTCAGGGGTTGGTGGTGGTGTCAGTGGTTAGTGGTGGTGTCAGGGGTTAGTGGTGGTGTCAGGGGTTAGTGGTGGTGTCAGTGGTTAGTGGTGGTGTGGGGGGTTGGTGGTGGTGTCAGAGGATGGGTGGTGGTGTCAGGAGTTGGTGGTGGTGTCAGAGGATGGGTGGTAGTGTCAGGGGTTAGTGGTGGTGTCAGGGGTTAGTGGTGGTGTCAGGGGTTGGTGGTGGTGTCAGAGGATGGGTGGTGGTGTCAGGGGTTGGTGGTGGTGTCAGAGGATGGGTGGTGGTGTCAGGGGTTGGTGGTGGTGTCAGGGGTTAGTGGTGGTGTCAGGGGTTAGTGGTGGTGTCAGGGGTTGGTGGTGGTGGTGTCAGGGGTTGGTGGTGGTGTCAGGGGTTAGTGGTGGTGTCAGGTGTTAGTGGTGGTGTCAGGGGTTAGTGGTGGTGTCAGGGGTTAGTGGTGGTGTCAGGGGTTGGTGGTGGTGTCAGTGGTTAGTGGTGGTGTCAGGGGTTAGTGGTGGTGTCAGGGGTTAGTGGTGGTGTCAGTGGTTAGTGGTGGTGTGGGGGGTTGGTGGTGGTGTCAGAGGATGGGTGGTGGTGTCAGGAGTTGGTGGTGGTGTCAGAGGATGGGTGGTAGTGTCAGGGGTTAGTGGTGGTGTCAGGGGTTAGTGGTGGTGTCAGGGGTTGGTGGTGGTGTCAGAGGATGGGTGGTGGTGTCAGGGGTTGGTGGTGGTGTCAGAGGATGGGTGGTGGTGTCAGGGGTTGGTGGTGGTGTCAGGGGTTAGTGGTGGTGTCAGGGGTTAGTGGTGGTGTCAGGGGTTGGTGGTGGTGGTGTCAGGGGTTGGTGGTGGTGTCAGGGGTTAGTGGTGGTGTCAGGTGTTAGTGGTGGTGTCAGGGGTTAGTGGTGGTGTCAGGGGTTAGTGGTGGTGTCAGGGGTTGGTGGTGGTGTCAGTGGTTAGTGGTGGTGTCAGGGGTTAGTGGTGGTGTCAGGGGTTAGTGGTGGTGTCAGTGGTTAGTGGTGGTGTGGGGGGTTGGTGGTGGTGTCAGAGGATGGGTGGTGGTGTCAGGAGTTGGTGGTGGTGTCAGAGGATGGGTGGTAGTGTCAGGGGTTAGTGGTGGTGTCAGGGGTTAGTGGTGGTGTCAGGGGTTGGTGGTGGTGTCAGAGGATGGGTGGTGGTGACAGGGGTTGGTGGTGGTGTCAGAGGATGGGTGGTGGTGTCAGGGGTTGGTGGTGGTGTCAGGGGTTAGTGGTGGTGTCAGGGGTTAGTGGTGGTGTCAGGGGTTGGTGGTGGTGGTGTGGTGGTGTCAGGGGTTAGTGGTGGTGGTGGTGGTGTCAGGGGTTAGTGGTGGTGTCAGGTGTTAGTGGTGGTGTCAGGGGTTAGTGGTGGTGTCAGGGGTTAGTGGTGGTGTCAGGTGTTAGTGGTGGTGTCAGGGGTTAGTGGTGGTGTCAGGGGTTAGTGGTGGTGTCAGGGGTTGGTGGTGGTGTCAGGGGTTGGTGGTGGTGTCAGAGGATGGGTGGTGGTGTCAGGGGTTGGTGGTGGTGCCAGAGGATGGGTGGTGGTGACAGGGGTTAGTGGTGGTGTCAGGGGTTAGTGGTGGTGTCAGGGGTTAGTGGTGGTGTCAGTGGTTAGTGGTGGTGTCAGTGGTTAGTGGTGGTGTCAGGGGTTGGTGGTGATGTCAGGGGTTAGTGGTGGTGTCAGGGGTTAGTGGTGGTGTCAGTGGTTAGTGGTGGTGTCAGGGGTTGGTGGTGGTGTCAGGGGTTAGTGGTGGTGTCAGGGGTTAGTGGTGGTGTCAGGGGTTAGTGGTGGTGTCAGTGGTTAATGGTGGTGTCAGTGGTTAGTGGTGGTGTCAGGGAATCCTGGTGGTGTCAGGGGTTAGTGGTGGTGTCAGGGGTTAGTGGTGGTGTCAGGGGTTAGTGGTGGTGTCAGGGGTTAGTGGTGGTGTCAGGTGTTGGTGGTGGTGTCAAAGGTACATTAAGTATACAGCATCTAATTACTCATAACAGAGATGCATTGATAAACACTAATGTTTTATATTTTATTAAAAGTACATATATAAACTTCGTTTTCAAAGGTTTAATGTAACAATATTTCAAGTACAGTAGTACCTCCATTTACGCATTTAATCCGTTCCCAGAGACGGTTCGTAACCAAAAAATTCATAAACCGAAGTGAATTTCCCCATATGAAATAATGTAAATTTAATTAATCCGTTCCACATTCCCAAAAATATTAATTTCAATGTAAATTTGATACCTAATTTACCCAAATCTTTAGTACTAAAGTATGTACAAGTTATTGCTTACCTTTATTTATGACTCTTGTTGGCATATGGAAGACGGTGAGAAGGAAGACGGCCCGGTCGTCGACCAGGCCTCCTCGTTGCTGGACTGGTCAACCAGGCTGTTGGATGCGGCTGCGAGCAGCCACGTCCAACTATATGTTTACATTTTTGTTTGACCAAGAGAGTATGAAACTTTCTGTCAACATTATATTGTGGGGTGAAGCATTTAAATACCATTTGTGAATATAAGGTTTTACCGTATATGCTTCATATTAATAAATTGCATAAATCCATGAAAATATACAATAATTGGGCTGCAAGATATTGTTGAGACCCATTATTCATAATAAAATAATAAAATGCATCCTTAACTCTGCACATATATTTATTAAGAGTGATGTGTACAGTTTAACAAAAAACATAGTATCTTGGTATAAACAGTACCAATATATCTTAAATTCTCCAGGAAAAATGATCTTTCACTTATATAAAATCAACCTTAAAGAACAAATATGACTCCCATGCATTTAATTTTGGGAGAATGAATAATTATTTTTCTTCATAACATCCAGCTACAGCTTTTTACCAAAACAATATTTTACTTAAAAGAAAATATATAAACACTTTGCCTACAGAATGTAGTGCTAATCTTCACATATTAAGATTCTGAACATCAAACAACATTTTCAAGTATTTCAAGAGAGTTTCATGGTAAATTTGGTAATAATCTCATTATGTTAGTTAACAGTTGCTTGCCCAGTTTCAACAGGGCCACAGAAAAGTTATAGTTAGATTTTTCCATTTTCAATGTGAACTATGCAAGTAAGGATTCGGCAGAAAGTGCAAGATAAATATCACGAAGTATGGTAACAATTATAGATAATCAAAAACATTAAACAAAACTAGGGGAAATGAAACTAAACAAACAGAGGATGATGAAATGAGGAATAAATAGGAATGATGAAACAGAGGATGAAGAAATACAGTAATGCGATAAAATAAAGTACAATGAAATAGAGGGATGAAGAAGTAAGTAATTATCAAAAGAAGGCACCAAACCGGTAAGACTATGTAGCACCATCAAATGTGCGGAATAATCAGAGGGCGCTAAATATCACCAAGGATGCCAATACGAGAACAGAAACGCATAAGGCGAATGATATCAAAAGTATCCGATTCACCAAGAATTCTATCGAGGGACAAGTGACCATGAGGGACGGTCGGAAAGCAAGACACACATGCGTCCTGGAAGTCAGGACATTCAACAAGAATATGCACGACTGTAAGAGGAACAAGGCAATTTGGACAATAAGGAGCAGGGCAGCGCTCCATTAAGTGACCGTGAGTTAAGCGTGTATGGCCAATACTGTACGCAACTTTGCTAGAGCCGTTTCCCATCGCCGGTTACAATGGTGCGAGGAAGGCCATCGGGACACACTACGCTTAAGAGTACACAGTTTGTTACCAACAACAGAAGACCAACAACCCTGCCAATGGGCAAGGATGGAGGAATGAATAACTTGGTAAAAGTCGGAATAAGGAATACCTTTACAGGAGATGGGGCAAGAGCAAACAGCTTCCCTAGCGGCAGCATCTGCATGCTTATTGAAAGAAACACCAATATGGCTGGGAACCCAGCAAAACTCTACAGATTTAAATTTACTGGAGATAAGGAACGGCGAATGCTGAATCTCGACGACCACTGGATGGACCGGATTAAAGGACCCTAGAGCCATGAGGGCCACTACGAGAGTCAACCATAACCACAAAAGAGGATTAACGACATGAAAGCAGGAGACGAAGAGCATAGAGAATAGCATAAAGGGGGATGAAGAAATGAGATGATAAAACAAGAAAATGAAACAGGGGATGAAGTAATAAGATACAATGAAACACGGGATGATGAAACTGAACAATGAAAAGGGGAGGAATGAAACAGGGTGCAATGAAATGAGAAGCTGAGGAAAAACACACACACACACACTTGTTTTAATGGTAGTGTATATGCTAGACCAGCACATAGAGATTATATTTCTTGTTCTGTAATTTGTGCCACGTTCATTTTAGATACCGATGCATTCTTATTTGTTTTCTGACCCTATTTCACCTTATTATTATTATTACCGGTTTCCTTTTTCATTTTAACTGCCGATCTGGCATATTTGTTGACTTGAGTGTGTTTACTGATGATGTTAACTGGCCTTCCAGTTTTTCCAATTTGCTTGCTGTCCTTTCGCAGGAATTTTGTGTACACACCGAATCAGTTGACGACTTATCTGATATATTTGTTGGCCTCTCTGATCTACTTTGTGACTTCTCTGAACTATATTTTAACCTTTTAGGGTCACTTCTGGAGCTTTCAGATCGACTACTTGATAGTTTAGATCCACTTCTTGACCTTTTCGATCTACTTCTTGACTGTTTTGATCTACTTCTTGACTGTTTTGATCTACTTCTTGACCGTTTGGATCTACTTCTTGATCTTTTAGATCTACTTCTTGATCTTTTGGTTCTGCTTCTTGACCTTTTAGATCTGCTTCTTGACCTTTTAGATCTGCTTCTTGACCTTTTAGATCTGCTTCTTGACCTTTTAGATCTACTTCTTGACCTCTTCGATCTACTTTTTGGTTTGGGTGACTGTCTTCTTGGGGTGTTATCGCTGCCCGAGCTTTCGATCTCGCTAGCTGACCTTGACCTGTGAGGGCTCTTTACTAGTCCTCTTCTCCTCCTGGACTTTATGCTCCTTTCTGAGTGTCCTCTGAATAACAAAAATGGCAGAGCTTAATATGCAAAATAACTATAAGATGACAAATATTTAATCATATATTTCAATGGTGAATGAAATTCAAAAAATTAACTCCATGTAATATGAAGGATGGCAATGAAGGCCTTGTATACACTTGTAATACTATGCATTTGTAACCCGACTGATTATACAACACGGAACAACTACAATTAGATATTAACACATTCAACCAATTAGATACAGAAAACACGATATTCAACAGTTGCAGATTCCAAATACAGTACTGTATTTTAGTATTACATAATTAAAAACTTATAATGAGTACAGGATATATGACAGATCAATAAAATAAGTAGAATATCTAGGAATAACAAGAGACAACCCAATATTCAGAAACGAATCACAGCCAGATGAAACGAGAGGTTGATTTAAGAGAACCATCAAAACAAAGACACTGCAATAATGATGCTAATCGTCAAAGCAGTGTCATCATCTTTGCAGGAATATTGCCCTGTGTTCCCATATATTATTTAAATAACAATAATTCATAATTTTTAATATTTATGAATTATAAACAAAATGAAACATCTAAACTAATAAAATATATAAACTACCTTTACTCTTAACATGTGTGTTGGTAAAGCATTTAAACTGCTGAAACTATTTCAGTTCATTCAAATTATATTCTGACATAGTACTGTACAAGTATGTAATATTTAGATTTTTGTTTAATTAAGACCTTGTGTAAACTATAACTAAACTATTATGATGCATGCAGTATAACTCACCTATGACAATATTTTGGAGTCTGAGAATTCTTTGAATATTCATGTGACTGTGTATCCTGATCGGCCCGCCAGAAGGCATTGCCTGGGTTACGGTACACATGGAGGAAGTTACACTGACCACCTTTAGGGCATCGTTGACGCCAAAATAATCCTGAAATAAATAAGAGCCATATTAGATTCAAAGAAAGTTTTGCGTAATGATATTTAGAGATGAACTTCACTACCTACTTATTTGGCAAACAACTTAGCTTTGCTACATAAAGAAATTAATCAAAACTAAATAATATGAAAGGAATAACATACCAACCCCATGCAAGTAATGTTCAAATTGGGAGAGAAGTGACCACATACCTTCCACCCTTCCATAGACAACACAGTGTGGAGGACGGCAGGAAACTAGACTTACCAACTCAAGAGACCCCAGCCAACAACAACAGGAGGCAAGGAGAAAAGTCCAAGGCAAACTCTTAAGGACAACTATGGTAAAAACCGAAACCCAAAAATCAGCACCCCTAGGTAACCATCAAGAGGTGGTGACAAACCTAAGAGACCAACACTGATACTTGAGGAAAGGAAAGGAAAGCAACGGTACACACTAGAAGAGGGCCACATTGAAGACACTGAGTGACACTGAAGTCACAGCCAGGAGAATCACCACAGTCCAGTACACATACCAAACCACAAGGAAACAGGCAAATACTGTATACTGTCATGATGATTGCAAGGGCAGACAGCCACAAGAGCCAGTTGGTAGGCAAAGTCAAGCACCACAAGGCAGCGTTGCAAGCACAAACAATCCCAAAGGTTCGTACTAGCTCACAGCCAGAAGGCACAACCGAATTAGGCCCCAGCAAACCAGTCCTGCCAGCCTGAGGATAAAATAAGGGCCCAACCACCAGGGCCAGCCAGCAGAAACAAGTGGAGAGGCAAAATGGAGTGCAATGCAAGCAAACATAACAAGCCAATGCCTCAAATGTAAAAACCATCCAGGAAGGCAAAGTGCAACCAGAGAAAGCACCCAACCAAGCCTAGAATCCACCACCCAAAAATCACGTGCCGGGAACAAAACAATCAACGCCACAATTTCAATTTCAATTTCAATCAACGCCACACAGTCCAAGATCCTAGCACACAACAAACAATGCTTGGCAAAACAAAGACAAACTCTTAGTACTGGACTGTAACAGATGATTAAGATACAATGCATGAACATAACTGATGCCACTCTCCCTCTCATTCAATGGCAGTAAGAGGTGGCGTGATGTATTCACAAGACCATAACAAGTCGGCTTACTCCCTCAAACAGTGGATCAAGGGAACAAGGAGCCAGCATGGGGTCGTGATGACACCAATCTTATAATATTGTACTGTATATGAAGGTATAATCGTTTGCATTATCTCAGTTATTGCTTAAGGACTTGAGAGTTGTATATTAATTTGTGAATTTACTGTGTTTAACATAAACTTAATAAAATAATCATCTTCTCCATTTAAGCTTGTTCCATGTTACTCCAACTCAACATTGGTTTCATAGCAATCATACACAATAGCTGAGCTGGCCATTAGTTACATGTTCAAAAGGGTAGACGGGAAAACATGCACATCATACAATAATAATAATGTCCTTATAATTGTGTAAGGATAAATACCTTTTGTATTTAAGGTATTTAAATACAGAAGGTATTTACCACAAACAACTCACCATACAATTGAGTAGTATGGACTATAATGAGTCTACACAAGACCTTCCCTATTACACACTCAAAAGTAATGGCACATACTGTTCACCTAAAATAAGGATAATACTCATACAATTTTTCCTAGTTGTGGTCCTTTTGATATGCACATCACAACGTAAACACTATACAATGTGATAATATCAAGATTTATTTTATGATTCCCTTATGTGGTTTCAAAGCATGTCACTTGAAAGGTTTATCACAAATTAATATGTTACTGACTGTTCCGAGTGGTTCACTAAATAACACTTCTACATACAAGAATTAATTTTGTTAATAAAATACATGTATTAAAATTTACTAAACATGCATACAAACAGGACAGCAGTAACAGACTGAGGTTCCCTCATGGTACCACCTCAAGACTAGGTAGGAAGGTGATAAGCAAGCACCTAACATTTGCACAAGTGACACACTGAGCACGTACACATGTGAGCTCTCCCTCAATACTCAGTCCTATGTTTATATACATACCACGTGGTAACAAGGAGTCCCTAACACATCACACAAAGGCTTTAGTAAAAGACAATAAACACACTTAATCCCAGGATCACTTGATAACCCACACAGTCTGCAAACAGTGGAAGACGGTTAGAACAAGTTAAGTGAGAAGGTGGTGGAGGCCAAGACCGTCAGTAGTTTCAAAGCGTTATATGACAAAGAGTGCTGGGAAGACGGGACACCACGAGTGTAGCTCTCATCCTGTAACTACACTTAGGTAATCACACAAAAGCTTTCATAAATCCATACTCACAAAGGCTTAGACATGTACATGGCATGCAAACAAAGGCCAGACACATCCACACATATGATGTGCTTGATGACATCAGAAGAACATGATGTACCTATGAGAAAATGTTGAGGCCATTCAATCATATCGACCCTAGGGAGTTTAGGGATGTAGGTTCGATCCCGGATCAATTATGAGCCTACCTGTTGTTGTTGTTGTTGTCGTTTTAGATTCAGCTACTCAGAACAAAAAGTTCCAAGTAGCACAGGCTATGGTGAGCCCGTCATGAACTTAGAGCCTACCTCTGACAATCTTCTAATGGTAGTTTACCATGATAATTGGCAGTCTTAACACTGCTAATTTCACTTACAGGATGGTGGCTTGAATTGTGATTAGTGTTTTATATCACAACAAACAAGTCCTTTCAATGGTGGCTTGAGTTTGATTTATTAGTCTCCCTTCCCGAGATATATGACCTGACTACATACAAAGCTTCCCACCACAATGGGAATAAGAGTCTCAAGAGCCTGGTGGATCATATACGAGCAGGAAATGGAAGCACTTGAGGTACCTAAGCTCAGAAATACTACACTGACATACTGTTTTACAATAATAGTAATGCAATTTAAACAAATAGTAATACTGTATCTTAACAAAATGGAAGCACTTGAGGTACCTAAGCTCAGAAACACTACACTGACATACTGTTTTACAATAATATTAATGCAATTTAAACAAATAGTAATACTGTATCTTAACAAAATGTATTATAGCCTTACATCTATCAAGCATTGCATTACTTACCGCAGAGAGCAGATTTCCACCTGTCTATGGTAACAAAGAGGCAAGTTAACTGACGTCCAGCATACCATCGCCCATTAAAGAAAGCTCTTGCCTGTAAGGCATCTTCCTCTTTTGAATACTGCACATAAACATTGCCACGTAAGTGAGAACTAGTGTTGCAGCAAACCTTGAACTGAATTACATTTCCACACCGCTGAAATTCTGGAAGTGTGTCATCAAAGAACTCCCTAATAGGAATAAGGAAAAAAATACAGTAAATATGAACAATAGCCTCAATCTTGATTTATAGTTTTATAAATTATGTATTGGGTATGAAACCCTCTTCCTTAATATACACCTAATTATGTCAAGGTTATGATATTATGTCTAATATCAAGTCAACTAATCCAATTAAAATTTTATAGCATTGCTTATTTGTAAAATATCCCCGTAAAAGTTAAAAATCCACGGCAAAATGAAAACTGAAAATACACTATAACATCTACAGTAATAGATCAACTCACCTAAAATGTTCGTAAGTTTCAGAGTCTGTATATTCTAATGCAATATCTGCATCATTCCCTTCAAAAGATAACTGCTCCATTCCAAAATGAGAATACATATTGGGGAGCAATATTGTTCGGCTGCTTTCAGGGTACTCGTGTTCTCTGGAACGGAGTGATTTTGGGTCAATAAACAGGCAAGTGCATGCCTAACTAACTACTACAAGTGCATAACTAACGACCCATTAACTTATCATGAAAAATCATTTATAGCTTCAGTGTTATGAATTGCCATTTAAAGCATTGATAGCTTGGTGGCATACGTTCTGTACATGCTTTTACCTCAGAATAATTTTGGTGCAGGTCTGTTCATTTATGTATAATGAAAATACCAATATATTCAAACCATATAGTCATTCATTCATTTATTCATTCATTCATTCTCATTTCCCATTAAGAACCTGATTATCACTCTACACCTGCAACTACTATTTTCAGTTAACTGTCAAACAATGAGTATGTTCCAGTGGAACCCACAACAAAAATAGAAACCAAAACTAAATAAGTCTCTGAGTGTAGATGTAAAGCTCCTTAATGATCAAACCACTCGGTCACTTCCTCAGATAATGTTCAGTTCACCCCAGAACATAGGCAAATTCAAGCCTACAGAGTGTGACCCTCTTATTCCTGATGCAGCAGGATCTACTTAAACCACCTCCACTTAGACCATGAATGGTCAGTAGTTGGTTTCAAAGAGACTGCAAACTATTGTTTGGCTAAACTGCTATATGAATATCTGGCTATTATGCAAAACTATCCCCGATACATTACCAGTGCTGTCAACAGATGTATTTATAGACTCCACCTCACTTCATAGTCCAAGCCCTTTCCCTACCTAATTTCTTAGATATGTCTGGGGCCAGTGTCTAAGTTAAATGCTTAGTGTTCATCTTGAGACTTTAGTTTCTTGCAGCAGTGGGCCAGTGCTTTTTAGTGGATGCTCTTGAGGCACATATTACGCCATTATTCGTCTCTAGAACATTTGCTGGCTTTCTTTACAGAGTTGTCTTTGCCTGATTGACAGTGTGTGTTGGTTGATTATGATTTTGTTGCATGAATCTAGATTGCTTGCACTTCCTTGGGGGGGGGGGTTTACCCCGAGCCAAGGCAATTTGTTACAATTTGTTTTGTCAGGGGACAGGAAACCTGTGTACAGTGGACCCTCGATTCGGCAAATCTCCAGTTAGGACCCACTTTCCAGGCCCTATTACTATACAATCTCAATGTTTATCAGTTTGAGCTTCATCAATATTAAAATATGTGCTGAAAAAAATGTCTATTATTGCTGTAATCAACTCCAACTCTCTCTCTCTCTCTCCTTGTATGAATTTCACTTTCTTACATTCATTCTCAACAGAAAGTATCTTAAGCTTTAATGATCCTACATTTACCTTTGCTTCCTTCACAAAAATTCTTAAGGCTGTCAAATTTTATCAAAATTTACAACCACATAAAAACTATCCTTATACATCTTTCAATAATGCTAGTAAGAACAATAGGTGACAATAACGAGGCTGAATAAAAATAACCCATCCCACACTCACTCGTTTCATTTCACAAGTGTGAGCTGGGTTATTAAGGATAACAAAGTTAGCTCATTTTGGCCATTTTGTGCCAGCTTCAACATTCATATGAATCCTCAAGATTATTAATAAATGACTGGACAAACTGAAAGCTAAAATAAAGAACCCGCTCACTCCTTTACCTAGAACACTGAATACCAAAGCGACAGGCTCCAGTTTTGGAAAAAAATGGACAAGGTTCTCCTTTCTGGTGAGTATAATCTTTTCTGGTAAATCCTGGTGGAGGCTCTGGGTTGTGCATTTCCTCACCCTCCCTCTGTAAAAGAAAGGCAGACTATGAATCTACTTATTACATTCACAATGTACAAAAGTAATTATATACTTTACAGTATATATTTACTACTCTGGGCATCAACTAACATAAGAATGTTTCCCCCATTCAGAGCCAGAATTTCCCGCTTAAATTTACTTCAAGTATGTTAGATATAACACTCAAAATTTATCTTGCCTATTGTAGCCCGTTAAAATTTACTTTGGTAATGTCAAGAAATCTAATTAAGATTACAGTAAACATCATTTACAATAATATGAGCAGCTGGTTTTGTACGTCCTTGGAATTTAGATTGCTTGGGAGGCCACTAAAATAACACAACGAAAAGCAAATGACATGTTATAAACATCTAAAGCCCTACGTGGTATCTTTATCGTATTCTCTCCATGGGTTTCTCTCATTTGTGCATGTAAACACACCATATGAAACAACAATATATTTTGTTGCTCAGGACACCTTTACTCAATATAATAACACAAACTGAATATCACAAGTTTTTATGGTGTATCCACATGCCAGGTCAGATATATAATATTTATAGGCATATGACTGCAACTGGTATTAATGTAGAGAAAGTAATACTGAAGAGAGACTTTTTGAATGAATGAACATATCTACTGGAAGATGCGATCTAATGTATGCAGATAAAAATAAGGAACATTGTCACAATTTTACAAGTGTCTAATTAAAGTGCTATTGCCCAATCATAAGAGTATGAACGAGACCTGCCTACCTAGCCTATTGAGGTCAATGCTCATTAGCCCGAGCATCAGTTTGGATGCTGGTGTTGATACAATCCAGACTGAGATGCATTGCAAAGAGAATGAGTTACTCCAATTATAATAAGAAAAAATTTAGGCAAGCACAAATATGACTAGAATAGGATTTGATTGTTATACTTTGTCTGCACTTCAAATTAAATAAAGTGCCACATCTTGTAATAAATCAAATAAATATTACTGATGATGCAGAGATTCAATAATAATATCCGACAAAATACAGTACAGGACTGCCAAAGCCAAAAGAACAGTTTAGCTGATTGCAACAGTTTCATATTTGATTTATTTAGCTCTCTGGTACAGTAGTCAGATATCGGTAGTTTGCCATACTGTTAGATGAAGATACAGTAAATGTCTTTTGATGATAATTTTTATTATTTTTCCAAAATATGAAAACTATGGACACAAAACTAAATTATAGGGTCAATTAAGATTATTAGATTTCAAATTTGGCTAAATTTAGAATGCCAATTTCTGAGTGAATAATGACATATGACACAGAATTAAATTTAAATTTTGCCCCGTGGGGCAAGTTTATTGGGCAGCGCCACTCATCTTGTGAGTGGACACACCGCCATAGCAGAATGTACAACACTCCCAATAGGAAGAAAACCCGCTGGGTTGTTCATCATGTCACATGTACCCAGACACAGCTGGGACTTGCTTATAACTGTCTCAAGTGAACAGCTCCTCAAACAAGAAGATTAACATTTATCAACCCTTAAAAGCTTAGAATGTTATGGTAATATCAATAGGCATACAAATATTTAAAAACAAACTCCATTGCCAAATACATTAATAGCTGCAATATCTGACATACTGTACTGTACTTCTTCAAAAGTTGAAAACAAGCATATTTGAGTGACCGATTTTCCTGTATTTCCTCTATTTACAGTCTGGAAATAACAGGAAGAGCAATGCATATTCCTTAACAGGAGAATACGGACACATGACAATATGTTATGTTCAAATGAACACAAGAATACACTATATTCATAAGAAGACATAATGCATTACGTTCATACAAAGACATGACAATACATTACGTTCATGTGAAGACATGTCAAAAGATTATGTTCATACAAAGACACAATACATTATGTTCATATAAAACACAATACATTATGCTCATATGAAGACAATACATTATGCTCATATGAAGACAATACATTATGCTCATACATGTACGACACAAGACATTATATTCACACGAAGACATAATACGTTAAGTTCATACGAAGACAATAAACTATTTTCACACAAAGCCAGGGACCAGATTCACGAAACAGTTACACAAGTACTTACGAATGTGTATATCTTTCCTCAATCTTTGGCTTCTTTGTTTACATTTATTTGACAATGAACAAATCCACAAGGGCCGTGATCCTCGTCACAGCCCTTGTGGATTTGTTCATTTGATGCATCACGTTAGTGTGATCTCTGTGTGTGATTTATTTGACAGTTAATGAGCTCCGAAGCACCAGGAGGCTGTTTATAACAATAACAACAGTTGATTGGCAAGTTTTCATGCTTGTAAACTGTTTAATAAATGTAAACATAGCCGTCAAAGATTGAGAAAAGATGTACACGGTCGTAAGTACTTGCGAACTGCTTCGTGAATCTGGTCCCAGTACATTATCTTCATACAGACATAATACATTAGGTTCATATGAAGACATAATATGTTATGTTGAAATAAGCACCACTAACCTCTCCAAGACTTCCTGTTGCAGCTTGTAACAAGGCAGTCTGTTTGGGTGGATATGGCCAAGCAATTGGTTACTAAGCTGTAAAACTTGAGTTAAGGCAAAATTATACACCGCTATATAAAATCAAATGACTAAAAATAAGTCCTAATTAAATAATTAAAAAAAAAAAATGAGCACATTCACTAGTGTTCTAAGAATTATTAAATAAAGCTACGTATATCTGATGTGCATTCTCCATGTGAAATGCAAGCTGGAAGAGGAAAGAGCCTCTTAGGTAATGAGTAACTCTTAACTAAATCTATAACCCTAACATTAAAAAACAAAGTCCTAAACATTCAAATTACATACTAGAGCAACATTTCTGGAGCAACAGTAAGATTTCAACAAATCTTACATTTCTACATGTGCAATCTTACTTGCCACATATTATGTCAAATGCAACACTAAACAGAAAGACCTTAGTATTTACATCTGACCAAACTTATATATAAGAGTAAAATGTTTAATAACAAATAACTGTTTTTTTTTCCTTAAAATTATCTGGAACTTTGGAGTGTGTTAGTCTCACAAACAAGAGTTTACTGAGTCTTCATTAAAGCAAAACTTAACATATTAAACATTTCAATACAATATGGCAAGAAGCCACATCATTAATTGGAATATAAAGGATATTTTCACTAGTTTCTCGAGCCACACCTGTTCTTCTTTCCTTTTCTCCTCTTCTTCCTTTTCCTTCTTTTGCTTCTCTTCCCATTCTTTCTTTATCAGTGCCTGAAAGAGACACGAGACAAAATAAATTTCTTCCCATGAGCATAATAATGTACAGTACATCGATATTAAATTATCAAACAGATTTGTCATTTTCACCATTACCCGTGTGCTTCTGTGAACACTACTTCCGAGCAGTATACTTGGTTGCTCTCTAAAGCATGATAATACTCACCTTTGGTTAGGACCTATTGCAGTGAGGGCAGGTTACCGTATGGTTACTTTGTACTGGTTCCCAGGATCAACGTCCCTGCAGCCCGGTCTCTGACCAAGCCTCCTGAATGACATTTCACTCCAATGTTAGTGGAGATCTTTGAAAACTGCCCCCCCACTCGGGAGCTGGTCGGCCGAGCGGACAGCACGCTGGACTTGTGATCCTGTGGTCCTGGGTTCGATCCCAGGCGCCGGCGAGAAACAATGGGCAGAGTTTCTTTCACCCAATGCCCCTGTTACCTAGCAGTAAAATAGATACTTGGGTGTTAGTCAGCTGTCACGGGCTGCTTCCTGGGGGTGGAGGCCAGGTCGAGGACCGGGCCGCGGGGACACTAAAAAGCCCCGAAATCATCTCAAGATAACCTCAAGATAACCCCTCCCCCAGTAGCTTATTCTGGAGCTATGGAGAATACTCAATCCAGCCCATAATGATAAAAAGTGCTTTACTTAACCTCAAGAGCCTTTCCATGTGCAATCTGGCAATGGAGATTGCATCGAGGGCTAACTACCTAACTACTCGCTTGCTCACTGTAATCAACTACTACCAGCTGGCAATTATGATACCATAACAAAGACTTCAAGCCTAATCTTATCGCATTTCACCTGAATCCTACGCTAAGAAAAAAAATCATAGCCAAGCACAGGGAGGACAGGGCTCAGAAAACTGAGTGAATACTCAGATCTATGTTAATGAGCAATCCCACTCTATTCCTACCTAAGGTAAGTACTGGTGGAAGCCACACTAACTACAAAAAGGTTACGACGCACCTGAGCTGCAAAATGGAAGAACAGAATTGGGAGGGAGAAGAGACAGCAGGAAGAATAGCACCCACATCCCATAACACGTACTGAAAAACTATACTGTACTAGAAAAACTGTACTGTACTAGAAAATCTAGTACAGTACCTTATTTAGGGACAAAGTGGGATTCAAATTAAGATCAAAAGAACTCAAATAAAAAATATTATTCCAGATGTAAAGCTTCTTAAGGCCACTCGGTCACTTCCTCAGATAATAACAAATCTTTTTGCTTACCAAAAGCAAAAAGATGTGGTTTAGCCAAAGCAGCCTGATATGAAATCACAGTAGTGTTGGGTATGACCCTCCTGTCCAAAAAAAAGAGTTAAATGAAAATGCACTCAAGCACAGGAATAGAATGAGTCGAAGGCTGATGAAGAACAGGATAACGAAAAACCCATTAGATCACCTCATATGGGCAATGAGAACCTCTAAGGTGTTGAATAAGAATCACTATTACCTGTTTCCCATAAAGGCAACAATAAATTTACCCTAAAAACTCAACAAAGATTGATGGATTATGCCAATAGGAGGCTAAAGACTTTTCCCCCCAAAAAAAAACAGAAAAGGCAGTCTGGGCAGAAAAAGGACTTTTTCTATGGACTTTTCCATAGAAAAAACACCGAGAGGAATACCTGAGTAAAGGTATTCCTCAAATGTGCCTCAAACACTCACTGCATGCAAGATCAGTGAAACTGAAAGATATTCAACAAGGAATTAAAAGATATCAGAAGGATTACCAGAATCTTTTCTTTGCTATTTAAAAGGTGTGTAAACAGGATATTATACAGTATTCTGTTGAGAAGTATCATCATTTTCCGATTTCCTGATTGCATAAAGTGGAGGCACTTGGTCTTTAGTTGGATGAAGATGGGGCACCAGCCCAATCTCTTTCCCTCTTTATTGCAGGGGATGTGAAGCATCTTAAGTGCTGAATAGTGGTTGGGTTCCACACAAGTGTGTAATGTATAAATTACAACAAAAACCCTACTGTATGTATGGAAATAAATATGCAAGAAATGCCCACAAAATAAGGCATTGCAGAATGCTAAACTATCACCTCTTGTTTCTCTTGCTGTTCCTTCTGTAAAAGCCTCTTCTGTTTTTCCCTTAAAAATTTGGAGTGGAGAGCTGCATCACGTAATTGCCATTCTTCTTTCATCCTTGCAGCCTCCTGCTCCTCCATCCTGCGGGCCTCCTCCTCCAGCAGTTCTATCCTCTCTAGTTCTGCCACAAAAGTAGGGTCCTGCAACAGGGCTGCTTGTTCTGGCAGATATACCCGGGGAAAGAGCAATCATTAATCACGTAGCAACAAATTCTGAACAAAATGCTTCCTGGCTTAAATATGCACAGTAAAAGGGTCTCTACACATAATTAATATTTACAAGTATTATTTGTCTCAGAGCATTACGCTGATAAAACAATGGTAACTTCAAGTGTTGCTTCTCTTAAATATTTTAAGCTTATAATAAAATCAACAAAACCAATATAGGAAGTGTAAAATTCATTATATTAACTTTTTAAGCCGTAAGAAAATATATCAAATGTAAAAGGAATGAGAATGAAGATGGTCACTCAGACTAAGTAAGGTTGGGTAAGGCTAAGTAAATTACACCTAATATAAATTTCACAACCAAATACGGTACACTATCATAAATTAAGTAAAACAGATAATAATTATTTTTTAATTCAGCCAAATAATCAGCATTTGCATACAGCACTAGTAATGGTCAACAACATGAGAGTAAAAGCTATCGCAAGTTTATTAGTAACACACCTTCTTGATATTTGAGATCCCTTTCTTGAGCTTTGCGCTGACGGCCCCGGCGCCGCCTCTCTCGCTTCACTATATGTCTCCATATCTTATGACTGAAGAAAATAAGAGAAAAAATAAGAAAACTTAGAGCAGGAAAATGCTCATAAATAACTTATACATGTATATACATGAACAAGTATATTTTTTATGACCTCCTGCTATAAATCTACAAATATCACCAATTGCTACATCTCTTATTAACCAGCTGAAATAAATTATGATACAACAATCAAATGATAACAATAAGATATGATTGCTACTCTTTACCAGTCAATTCCTGGTCTCATTGAACTTATGGAATTACCTATGGTTAGGCTGGTTCAATTACATATTTCTTATAATCTAATCAGTAAGGCAGAAGTTTCACGACACAATGAACCAAATATTTCTCACGATACACATACCTTACTCTCTCGATTAGTTGAATCAGCATGATGATGCAGTCTTTGCCTCAAAGATGAATGTGGCTCCACAAATTTATGAGGTGCAGCTCCTAACTCTGTAATAATGCATTTTATCTTACAAGGGATGTATAATATATTGGGGATGATAGGGATGGAGAAACAGTATTATAAATTAATATAAACAAAATATGCCAAGGCTTGTTTAAAAAGACTGCTTTTGACATTTTTTATATACTGTACAGTAATTATGTTATAGCTTAGCTGGTCTTATATGCAGCATAACCTAACCAAACCTAGCTGGTCTCCATTCAACATAAATGTATAAAGTTAAAATGCGGGATGAAGTTGGACAAATGGCACATTAAACCTTCAAGTATCTTCCATGGCCAGATAATGTGATACACGTCTCTTTCATCTCTGTATCGAGGATTACATCATTGCTTCTCTAAGACAGCCCCATCATATGGACAGAGGCTACAGTTAAGGATTGACGCCCAGTAAATCCTCCCTGGCCAAGATACGAACCCAGGCCAAAGTGCTTGCAAACCGCTAGGCAAGTGTCTTACCACTGTACCAAGGGGACTAAACTTCTCCACCTAGTGTTAAGCTTGCTGTGGTATGTTCACTAAAGGTTGAAGCTTGTAAGAATGAACAGTGTCAAAGTTGAACCTGCTTAAATACTATGTTCTTGATGGATTGGTGGCACAGTATGTACGTACACTGTGATACTCACACTAAAGCGTGCTTAGCGACACCCTGGCTTCCCTCCCTCCGGGAAGATAAATGCCAGTACTCCACCCCAAACAGAGAATCAAATGGAAGACAAATGGAAGACGACACCAAGTGCTTTCTTCTTCTCTAAGACGTGTGCAGTTTGCGAACCAGTGCCTTAAGCACCAGCTACTCTCTCTTCTTCTTTATAGTAGCTGCAGTGTGCTTGAAGGATTTGTCCTCCCGATGACTGCACCAGTACAGATGTTGGAAGACGCGTTTATGTTGAGGATGGTGAGATGTTGTGTTGATTTAGGGGCGACTGAATGGTGAGAGTTTCAAAAGTATTTATTGCGTGCCCTCGGAGTGCGTCTCCCAACACCCCGGGGCAGCACACTCGTGTTTACAAACACACAATGCGTTCCTCACTCAAATCCGGATTCACAATAACTATATCAAATTCAATAATCCAGGAAATGAATATATTTATCTCTCAGAATGTTTGGTAATATGTTTATTGTTTGTGATGTGTGTATATGTATGTATTAACACGATGTACTGAACGGGGTGAGAATAGCTTGAGCTACCTCATCCCTTTGTGTGTATTTGACCTCAATAAACTTATTTCAATTTCAATAATCCTTTTTTTTGTGCTACATCTAACCTTTTGAAGAAATTGTTTGGAACAAGATCCTCTAAATTGTTCAGTATTTTAACATTTTCGATGAGAAAATGTATAGATCATATAATGAAATATATAGAATGTATAGATATAAGCAGAATGTATGTATATAAGCAGTCTCCGTGGTGTAGTGGTAAGACACTCGCCTGGCGTTCCGCGAGCGCTATGTCCTGGGTTCGTATTATTTACTGGGCGCAATTTTAACTGTAGCCTCTGTTTAACGCAACAGTAAAATGTGTGGATGAAAAAACGATTCTTCGCGGCAGTGGATCGTATTCCAGGGACCATAGGATTAAGGACTTGCCCGAAACGCTACGCGTACTAGTGGCTGTACAAGTATGTAACAACTCTTGTATATATCTCAATCTCAAAGATAGACATGACGGGGCTGATGAGATCAGCCCCGTCATGTCTGGTTTGCAGTAATGTTAGCCTTGAGGCTCTCGGCCATTCTTGGCATAAGAGTCGGCTTAGTTCTGGAATAATTTTTGTCACTCGGCGTTGCACTTTCTGCAAAGTAAATATAAGAACATAAGAACAGAGGTAACTGCAGAAGGCCTATTGGCCCATACGAGGCAGCTCCTTATAATTATTTCTTCTAATGTTCCGACTATTAATATGTTCTTCTGAAGATGAGGTCTCCTTGCTTGGATACAATAATCGAAATGTGGGGTACCCCTAGATATTTATACAGTGAATAGCTATTTTCTTTTCAGTGAAGTCAATGTCTAGTTTGACTATTCTTAGGGTTCGATTGATTGATTGATTGATGAAGAATAAGCCACCCAAGAGGTGGCACGGGCATGAATAGCCCGTAAGTGGTGGCCCTTTTGAGCCATTACCAGTATCAATAGATGATACTGGAGATCTGTGGAGGTGCGACTGCACCCTGCGTGACGGGAGATGTCTCCCGTACTGTTCCAAATGGGGGGGTACCCTAGAGATTTATACAGTTGAATAACTACTTTCTTTTCCTTGAAGTCAATGTTTAGTTTGACTATTCTTAGGGTTCGGTTGACATTTTACTGCAGCTCCTGCTTGTTGTATATGGAGTTTGCTAACATTCTTGACAAGGCACCACGTGAAAGCAACAGTCGTGTGCGGTCGCAGTGTAAGCGCTCTTGGATATTGTGAAATTGTGCTCAACTGTTCCAGTTAAACAGTGCATTTGCGTGGTGGGGACTTGAAGTAGAGGGGGGTAGAAATAGCCTAAGCTACTCTATCCCTTTGAGATGCATTTATTGCTTATCTCAATAAACATACTTGAACTTGAACACTGAGAAGTGTATACTCTTTTTCACTGTCCTGACCTTAATTTTCGATGTACATATTTCATTTTTGTACCAATGTGTTTGCAATAGAATATTATACAAGAACAGACGTATAAAAGTCACCAAAGCATGAGTTAGACCACCACCAGATAAAGAAACTGCGTCGATCACTAGCCGTGAGCTCCAAACAGCGACGAAATGTTTCTATTCTTTTCAGGGTTGTCAACTCCACACTTGTCCTATAGCGTTAAATTTGATATCACTGAGATCGCAATAAAATTCCCTACACGGACATATGCATATAAATGTAGAATCATGATCGCGGCCCACCCGCAAGAGTGTGGGAAGTGGGGGAAGTGTTACCCATTACTGCACATCAGCGAAACCAGTATTGAAAAGTGTATATTCTTTTCACTGTCCTGACCTTAATTTTCTATGTACGTATTTCATTTTTGTACCAATGTGTTCGCAATGAAATGTTCTAGAAGAATATATGTATAAAATGTCACACAAGGATGCGTTAGACCGGCACCAAATAAAAAATCTATGTCGATTACACTCATCGTGTCAACAATACAATAGTCTTACCACGAAGATACAATACAATGCCGTTCTCCCAAATAGGCCACGTGGCTATTAGAGAAAACGGAAATTTCATGGCAAACATGTTCATATTATCCCAAGTCGATCGGACTCAAGACAAAAATATCGGTCTGATATTTACGACCGCGGGGTGCGAAAGTGTTTTAATTATATAAATTATTAAATGAGTCAAATAGTTAGTTAGTTCCCCCCTAAGACTGTATTAAAGGCAAGTTGTAATAATAATAATAATAATATTACTTACACAGGAGCCACAAGAGGCTCACTGTCCAACGTGAAGTGAACAAGTGCAGTTACAGATTGATTTATAAAGATTAAGCCACCCAAGAGGTGGCACGGGCATGAATAGCACGTAAGTGGAGCCATTTTGGAGCCATTACCAGTATCAAGAGCTGATACTGGAGATCTGTGGAGGTGCGACTGCACCCTGCATGACGGGAGATGTCTCCCGTCGCAATGAAACAGTTACCCGTCTACAGTTACACTGCAGTAATAACTGATATACCAGTCACCACTCCCCGAGTCCACAGTTGACTGTTTCCAATTCAGCCAATTGAGAGCGGGAACTCAGTCGCGTGATTCCTGACAGCCAATGGCGAGACAGTCCTTTACGTGGTTTTACTATCGGGGTCTTGCGAGTAGGCGAGGTGGAAACCTCGATGTTATAATAGGTATATATGTATTTGAAGTATGTATTTTAAGAGACGGGAGACATCTCCCGTCACGCAGGGTGCAGTCGCACCTCCACAGATCTCCAGTATCATCTATTGATACTGGAAATGGCTCAAAACGGCCACCATTTATGGGCTATTCATGCCCAAGCCACCTTTTGGGTGGCTTAATCTTTTCTCTCTCTCTCGTATTTTAAGAAATATAGGAGAGAAAGAGAGTCTCTTGTGTATTATACAGACCACCCCTCACTTAATCTGGTCCACTATAAGGTGGACTGTCCACTCAGGTTGAATAGCACTGCCCTACAACATGCCAACTGAACTTCCATCAAAAGCTGGAGTGGACGGTACGTCTGGCTAAGGAGTGTGTGGAATATGAACCACTATTCAAGGAGGGTCTTCACTGGTAAGGGGGGGGGGGTAGAAATAGCCTAAGCTACTCTATCCTTTTGAGATGTATTTCTTTCTTATCTCAATAAACATACTTGAACTTCACTGGTCCTACATAATAGTTGGGACAGAAAAGGCCGTGGAACCTCTAACGACGGTTGGGTTTGAGAATAGTGTGACGGTTACTCCGCAGGAAGGTATGATGCACACCAAGATTATAGTTTTTAAGTATCCAAATTATTTGGATCCTGATTATCTTCTTCTCAACAATGATAGTGTTGTTTGGGCAAAGAGGAACAGTGTTCGTGGTGAAAAACAAAGTCAGGTTGTTGCCTTGGTAAAGGCTGAGGCTTCGGAAAGAATTTTTGTGCAAGGATTAGGCTACAGGAAAGTTGCAAAATACATTGAGGAGCCCATATTTTGTATGAAGTGTTCTCCTTGGGGACATCCGAAGGACACTCAGGATACCACATCCTGAGGAAGGCTCAGGTGTGGTATTAAGGTTATGTCAGGTGTGTTTTGAACTCGGCACACCTCAGGGAGGAGTGTTGAGTCCCACCCTGTTTAATGTACTAATGAATAAGATAGCATCTGAGAGATAATCAAATGGGGTAACTCCGATCATATATGCCGATGATATTTTGTTTCAAGGCAAAGATATTTCAAAGGTTCAAACAGTGTTGGACAATTTCGGAAACCTGTCACCATATGGGACTGGTGGTTAATGAAAACATAACTAAGTTTGAATGTAGAAGTCGGAGGCCCACTATATTGAAAATAAACGGTAAAAATATAGAGAGAGTTAATATATATAAATATTTAGGCATATATGTTGAATATACCCATAAGAGTTTGGAAGCTGAGATGAACAGACTGTTGGGTCAATGTCGGAAGAGATTACAACCTCTGAAGGCCTTGGCATGCTGTGGAAAGGGAGTGGGAGTCATGATGATGATGATGATAAAGATTAAGCCACCCAAAAGGTGGCACGGGCATGAATAGCCCGCAAGTGGTGGCCCTTTTGAGCCGTTACCAGTATCAATAGATGATACTGGAGATCTGTGGAGGTGCGACTGCACCCTGCGTGACGGGAGATGCCTCCCGTGGAGTGGGAGTCCCTGTGCTACGAATGATATACTTGAGTACTGTAAGATCCCTTATTGATTATGCTGCACCTGTCATTTCTTGTTTTGGTAAAGGTAGGATGGGCAAGTTGGAGAAGGTACAAAATGAAGCCATGATAATTATCTTAGGATGACCAAGAAATGCTATGATTGAGATAATGAGGATGGAGTGGAATCTGAAGAGTATTGGGGAGAGAATTTCAGAGATAAGATCTCTTATTGATCTTGGACAAGTATATGAGTGGGATTGGGTGGTTATAGAATAGGAGCTGCCTCGTATGGGCCAATAGGCCTTCTGCAGTTACCTTTGTTCTTATGTTCTTATAAATGTAGCCTGTCCCATAAAATTCAAATTAATTAGAGGTGGGGAGCTAATGAATTAATCCTCTCGGTTCAAAAGGTGGGAAGTAATGAACAATGTATAAATTCACTTGAACGTGTCCAGCGTAGGATGACTAAGTTAATTCCCCAAATTAGAAATCTTTCATATGAAGAAAGATTAACAAAGCTTAAGTTGCATTCACTGGAAAGGCGAAGAGTTAGGGGTGACATGATAGAGGTTTACAAGTGGATGAATGGACATAACCGGGGGGATATTAATAGGGTATTAAAAGTATCAACACAGGACAGAACACGAAACAATGGGTATAAATTGGATAA